AGCAGAGGGCTGGCCTGGAAGAGGGGCAACCGGGACAGAATCCGGCGCCCCGACCGGGACTAGAACCCGGTGTGCCGGCGCCGCTAGGCGGAGGATTAGCCTAGTGAGCCGCGGCGCCGGCCTGGCCTGTCCTTCACTTCTAAAGGATAGCATAACTGGATATAATATCCTTAGGAGAAAGTCTTTTTCTTTCAAGACATTGAATATAGCATCCCACTCTCTTCTGTCCTGTAGGATTTCTACTGAGAAGTCTGCTATTAGTCTAAGGGAATATCCTTTATGTAACTTGACATTTTTCTTTGACAGTCTTTGGCATTATCTCCTTGTCCTTAATTTTTGACAATTTTGACTATTATATTCCTTAGAGAAGGTCATTTTTGGTTGAGTCTGGTTGGGGTCCTTTGGGATTCCTGTAAATGGATATCCATATCTCTTTTCGAGACTTGGGAAGTTTTCAACTGTTGAATTTAGTAGTTTCTCAATTCCTTTTTCCTTCTCTTCTCTTTCAGGTATCCCTATAATGCAAGTATTTGGTTGCTTAATGGTATCCCATATATCTCATGGGCTTTCTCCATTCTTTTCTCTTTATTTTTGTCTAAGTAGGTTATTTCAAAATCTTTGTTTCAAGGTCAGAAATTCTTTGTTCTTCTTGATCTGTGCTGTTGCTGCATTGCAGGCAGTGGCTTTACATGCTATGTCACAATGCTGGTCCCTTCCTCATTTCTTTGAACTGTGTGCATTTTCTTGCATCTTATTGAATTTCCTTAGGATCATTATTTTGAATTACTTTTTTAGGCATTTCATAGATTTTCCTCAAATCAGGATCTATTTTCTAGTGAACTGTTGTGTTCTTTTGGAGGTGTCATGCCTGCTTGTTTCTTTGTGTTCCCTGTGTCCCTGTGTTGATGTCTGCACATGTGATTTAACAGTTCATTTTTGCACAACTGATTTAATAGTTTGTTCTTTGTGGAATTAGGTTTTGTTTGAAAAGATTTGGTTCAGATGGAGTACAAGCTATCACTTGATTTGTTGTTTTGCCTTTGGATCTAGCTGAGCCCAGAAGTGTAACATCTGAGTGATTTCTTCAGCCATAGTCAATGTCAGTAGTGTCTATGAGTGTCAGAGTTGTCTAGTGTACAGCAGTTCATGGAAGTAGTGTAATGACTTTGAAGTGGATGTGGATTTCTTAAGGTATGTATCTTCAGTTCCGGAGAAATGTGTCAGTTAGAGTAGGCTTTGTGATCATTGTAATCACATTCTTGGTGCTATGAGACATAAAGGCAGTTGTCCTCTTGTCCTCTCAGGCAAACCTGAGTTATATTGGAGCTTGTGGTACCAGTGACTGTGATTTTGAGACTGTGATGTGGATGGAACATTCCCCAGATCTTGCTGAGTAGGTGTGACTGATGTTGGGACTTATGCACCAAAAGCTCTAGTCTCATCACTGGGAGAAAGGAAGGGGATTTGCCCCAGTCCAATAGGGTTGGGGTTATGCTGTGGTTTATGCACTGGCAGGAGTGGGTCTAGAGTGGTGGAAGCAGGTAGGTTCTTCCCTAGGCCCCACAGGGTAGATTCTAGTGACCCTGAGGAATCTAGTACTAATATTCACCCTGGAGCTGCCAGATGCAATGGGGTACTTACTCATGTCTCACAGAGAAAGGGAAAAGACACAGAAGAGATATCTTTCACCTATTGGCTCACTCTCCAGATGGTTGCAACAGCCAGGGCTGGGCTGGGCACAAGCTGGGAACCAGAAACTTTATCCAGTTCTCCCAAGTATGTGAGCCATCATCTGCTGCCTTCCCAGGCACATTGACAGGAAGCTGAATGAAAAGTGGAGAAGCTGGGACGTGACTGATGCTCTGATATGAAATGCCAGGGTCAGAACTCTCACAGGGTGAGTACCAGTTTTGCCAGGGATTGTGGAATTGTTGGCTAAACCAAGTCTTTTCAAACAAAACCTAATTCCACCAGCCTGAAGCAGAGGAGAACTTCATAGATCACATGGAGCCAGTGAGAATAGCTTCAGGACTTTTGCTCAGAGCTCCTACAGCTACAGAATGGGAGGAGTCTGCTCCCTGCCCTGGAAAGCACCTGTCTGTGACTCTGGGGGCTTCTAGTGGGAACAGAGCTTCTTCCTGTCTGGTAAGTCAGAACAGATTTTAGCAGTGACTGGATCTCAGCTCAGATCAGATGCTTTGGGGCTTGAGGGAGGCAGTAGGGATTCTTTTTTTGGAGCAAAGGAGCTACCTAAACTGATTGTAAAGTGGAGTTCTGTAGTTAGGGTTTCAGTCTGCAGCAATGGCATGGGTAGCAGTGCTGCCAGCTTACCTTCTTCTGGCAATATGGCTTCCCCCTGGCCGGGGTGTGACAGAGCAGGAACTGCTTTGTTTTTCTCTCGGCTTTAGAGTCTCTGTGCTGTTTGCAGTTTTGCCATTTCTTTACTGACATTTTCCCTCAGTTAGTCTCCTGGAAGCATAGTCCTTCCTTTGTTGTTCTGGTAATTTTCTGTGGCTAGGGTGAGTGAAGTTCCTGTCTATGCAGCCATCTTAATCCCTCACAGACTTTTCCAGAAAAAAAAAAATGTTTTTCAAATGTAAAGCCAAGTCTCAACAAGTTGGAAAGGAGAAAGGCAAATATAAGGAAGAACTTATTGAGAAAGTACAGGAGTGAATATAATCTGTGTGCAGTCAGGGTTTAACTGTCAATTTCTAGCCTAGTATATGTTTCATTGTCACTTTTCAGGATGTTCCTGGAATATTTCATTTCCCTCTTGTGACGCTATGAATATATTTTTTAAGTTGTGGTTAATGTATGTTTAAAAATTGGAAATATTTCCTAATTCCATAGGGTATTTTTATTGTGTTATGAATAAACCCATTTTATTATCTTTCAAAAATGGTTTAGAGCTCCACTTTTATAGTATCTTCAGCAAAAACCAATGAATTTATGGCGAAAGAACAAAAGAAATTGGTTTTAGGCTTTCAAGAGCTGGAAACTTTGGGAAGGTAAATATATGGGAGGAAACAGAGTAAGCTTTGTTTGCAGACTCTCTGATGTCATTTCTAGGCTGAGAATTTGGAGTTGTTTTCAGCACAGGTGCATGTATATGCTGTCTTTTGTCAGAAAATAGGAAGGGGATCATTATTGTGATGCAGTATGTTTAGCCACCACTTATGACCCTGGCATTTCATATCAGAGCACCAGTTACAGTCCCAGCTGCTCCACTTCTGATTCAGCTCCCTGTAAATGTGCCTGGCAGCAGATGATGGCTCATGTAGTTGGGTCCCTACCCATCCATTTAGGAGAACTGGATGAAGTTTCTGGTTCCTGGCTTGTGCCTGGCCCAGCCCTGGCTGTGTAGCCATTTGGAGAGTGAACCAGTAGACAGAAGATCTCTCTCTCTTTCTCTCTCTCTCTCTGTCACTTTCTTCTAAATAAATAAATAAATCTATCTTTAAAAATGGCAAGAGGAAGCTAGAGAAAGCTTGCCCTTTACTTGCTATTTTTATATGTCTTCATGTAAAAAATAATTTTTATATCAAAGAGGCATATTTTGGGGTGACATGTTCTATTTTTTTCAATGTCGTAATGCTTTCTCTTTTTTTTCCTTTACTTATTTGTCTCCTTTCTTTTTTTCCCCTAACCCTGATGTTTTGGACTCAGTTATCAGGTCTCTGTTTTACTTATTTTTCTTCTATTCAGAGAATTCTTTTGCTTTCTGTGACTGTACTCTAGAAACTTCCCAATGTATAGTTAACTACTGTTTTCTGTGAGAGGCACTAAGCTTTTTATATGTGTTTTTCCTTTCATTTTAAATTAATATTTAAATGAAATGAAGTTTATACTTTACATTTAATATTAAATTAAAGAAGATCCGGAGACTGTTGTCCATACCCCCCTTCTGCAGGTGAGTTAAACTGACAGAGCCATTCAATTACGAAGTGTTGCAACTAGGATTCTAACTCAATTTTGTGCTTTAAAAATCTTTGATTTTAACATCTCTGACAGATTACCTATTAGAATCTTAACATTCATATCCCAAACTGCACTCCTGACATCTTGTAATTTATATGACTCTTTCATTTATTGCCCTTTGTCAGTTTTCCCTTAGCGATTTTCAATTTCCACTACCACTTCCTAGATTAGTTCCTTACTACCTTTAAAATAGTTGTTAATTGTTTCTTTGTGTAAATATAAAGTCCAATCACATGGCTTGATTTATTATCCATAGGAAACTTATCTTCTCTGAACTCCTGTATTATTCTTCCTGGTCTGAGGCTTTTATTTTTGAAGTCTCAGGGATGTTGACTGGTGTAGTCCTGAAGCTCATCATTGTCATTTGTGATTGACATTTATTTGAGAGTTGCTATACCTTTGGACTCTCTGCACATGTGGTTTGGCTGAGCTCCCATTTTATTAGGACACTTTAATCATAAGGTTAGCCACAAAGTGGATGATCTTGGGTGAGCCCCCAGGAAAACAAGATCCTTGTGGCATTGTGGCCCCTCCCCTGTCACTCGTGTTTAATCATCTTCCTGATGAGACTATTTGGCTGGCATTTCTGGCTAATGTTTATCTGGTTTTTTTTTTTTTTTTTTTAACTTATAACTGAATTGTAAGTTCCTTGAAGTCAGAGTTCATGCTTACACTTCTCTGCAGCTCCTGTATTCAGCATCTAGCATAATGCTGAGAACATTGTAGATGACTGAAACATTCAATGAATGGAGAGTTACTTTGATGCTTGTCTTCTTATTAGGGTTTAGAAAAAATGATAATTGTGTTCTTATTAGGATTTAGAAAAAATAATTGATTTGGAGATTAAATCACATGTAACTGTCTTGGAAGGAACCTCTTCAACTATTATATTGAAGAGATTAGGCAGTTTGGAAGTTTAAACCATTTACTGTGTTTTTTAATTTTATATTTTAAAGAATGTGACATTTTCTTTCTTCCCAACCTTCTTTCTTTCTTTGTTTTTTGTTTTTTTTTTTTGGCAGCCGGTTCGAAGACAATCCCTTACCCCTCCTCCTCAGAACACTATTACGTGGGAAGAATATATATCTGCTGAAAATGGAAAGTAGGTGTTTTGATTTCTTTTCTTTTTTCTTTCTTTTTTTCTTTTTTGGGTTTATGTACTCTTTGGTTTTTAGGAAGAATGATTTAAAAAAAATGTGATATTTAAGTATAATAAGTACTTATGAGACAGAATTATTAGTATATTTTTGTCCAAAGTAATTCTTTTACCTTTTAAAAATATCAGTTAAGCATAATGATGGCGAAGTATCCCAAATTATATATACTCTTCGAATAGGGACATGGAGCCTTCTTTCTATATCCCTCCCTGCCAATTTACACACATACACCAAAACAAAGCAAACAAAACTACAGGACTTGTTCTAAGGAAATGTAATTTAGGGAATTGCCCAACACAAATGCATATTTGAGATTTTCTGTTGTATGATGAATTTTCTTATTTTCTGATTATCTTGATTCTTTAACATGACATGGCAGGTCATTCACTGTCTCCTCTTTGCTTTTCCAAGTTCATCTCTTGTCATCTTTTTGTTTCACCTATGCTAGATTACTTCTCATCATTCTTTCATAGAACCTTTTCTCGTTGTGATTTTACTAACAGTAAAGTAGCTAGCACATAGGTCATATTAAGTAGGTAGTTATTGACTAAAAGAATGATGAATAGATTTTAAAAATGTTGTATTTTGAATGAATGAATGAATGAATAAAATATTTAGTCTGTCCAAATACTATTTCCTTTTGGTATAGAATAAAATATTAGTTACTCATATATTTGAAAAGTTGTCATCATTTTCTTCTTATTGAAAGGCTTGTTATATTTTTTTATCTCCTTCACAATATTTCCACATTAATCTTCTATAGTGCTAAACAAATTCTATGGGAGGCCATTGTTTTGCTGTAGGCTCCAGCAAACCAGATCAAACCAGAATGTAATAATTTATGCTGGGTACCACAATTAATACTTTGTAACAGGGCAGTTTTGAAAACCCACATGTGATACCAGTCATACCCTGAGTTTGCATAGTAAGGAAATCCCCCTCCGTTTTACCCTATAAGGAAAATAGCTTTGAAGGGACTAGATGAGTCTGCTTTTTGTTTCTTCTTTATTTTTTCAGCCCTTTTCTTTGTATTAAAGCCAACCTCCTCTGCTCAGCTCATTGGAATACTAGTTCTATTTTATAGAATGAGAATTACAAATAAAAGCCAATTAAATCTTTAAACTAAATTTGCTAAAATTCTTTATTTTGACATAACATAGAATTCTGTATTCTTCATGATGCTCTTTATTGATCAATGCTGACACTATGGTAAACATTAAAAGAAACTAAATTGAGTAATTTTCAAGATATGCAGTGATACTTTTGCAGTGTTTTTCTAGTGATTTTCTTTGTTCTCTAGAGTAGTAATTATTAAAATTATATTCAAATTGGAATTAATTACGGTCTGATAATTATTTTCTAAACTTTTGCCGTCAGCTATTTTATTTTGTTACCCTCATTTCTTTTTTTATGGTTTTTAAAATTTTATTTAAGTTACACATGTTTAATGTATTTCATATGTACAGATTTAGGAACATAGTGATACTTCCCACCCCACTTTCCCTCCTGCCCACAATCCAACCCTTCTTCCTCCTCCCTCTCCTATTCTCACACATAATTTTTACAAAGATTTGCTTTCAGTTTATTTAAGGATCATGAAGTTAAACCTACACTAAGTAAAAGAGTTCAACACATAGGATGAAGAAAGAAAACACTGTTCCTCAACAGAAGAGACAAGGGCTGTAAACAATCATCGAATCTTAAAATGTCCATTTTACTCCACTAGATTACATTTCTTATATACTTAGTCTCTTTTAGCATAAGTATAATTTACTTCTATAGCAAGCTTAGGAAAATTGAAACATTAATTAATGCCATTAGAAGATGACAAATTATTCTTCTCAGGAAAGTGATAGCCTGTGGAAATTTTCTTAATAGTCTCTTTTTTTTTCCATTTCAGAGCTCCTCATCTGGGTAGAGAACTGGTGTGCAAAGAGAGTAAGAAAACCTTTAAAGCCACGATAGCAATGAGCCAGGAATTTCCCTTAGGGATTGAGTTGTAAGTTTTTTACTAACTGTACATGTTTATGAAAAGCTCTTAAACCCCATATGCTATAATTATATTTGCATTTGAGGACTTTGAAATGTAAAAGCGTATGCCTGATAGTATGTGCACCCTGCTTCTAAAATTGTTTAGTTCACAAAAGTATTCATGTTTTTATAATTTTACCAGACATGTTTTTGAAGTTTTTTTTTTTTTAATATAAAAGGAGTACATGAATACATGTCGTTGCTGAACAAAGTAGTTGGAGGCATTGCTGTAGAACCCCCAAACTGGATCCTCTTGCCAGATGCTCAGAAAGCCAATCACTGACATCAGGGTAGTAGGAGACAGTAGGCATTTATTGCAAAGTGCAGAGCAAGAAGCCAGGCAGCTGATGCTTAATTTCCAGATAGAAGTGAAGGCTCCTAAAGATGGAAATTGGGGCTGAGAGATGTTCATCAGCTCATGTCCAAGTTCGAGATACTCATTGGTGCTCCTGACCTTCCTTTGATTGATTAGTGATGCTGTGATCTTTAGAGAATTCATGATGGTCAGGTGGTCTCCAGTTGGTCTGGGGGTTACATGTAGGTGGGTTATCTTTTGCCCCAGACCTGGAATCTCCCAGCCTGGACCTGGAATTCCCCTAAACAGATCCCTCCAGACCATACTGACCATTGAGGTTTTATCTGTTAGAGAACCAGATGACTTCTTGAGTCCAGTTATTAGAACCTTGTGGGTGGTGGGCCAGCATTGTAGCGTAACAGGTAAATCTGCCTCCTGTGACACTGGCATCCCATGTAGACACTGGTTCTTTTTTTTTTTTAATTTTTATTTATTTTAATAAAAAACTTATTTAATAAATACAAATTTTGAAAGTATATCTTTTGGATAAAAGCAGTTCTTCCCCCCATAATCACCCTCCACCTGCAAACCATCCCATCTCCTACTCCCTCTTCCATCCCATTCTTCATTAAAATTCATTTTTAATTATTTTTATATACAGAAGGTCAACTCTGTACTAAGTAAAGATTACAATAGTTTGCACCCACACAGACAAACCCTGACTGCTCCACTTCTGATCCAGCTCCCTGCTAATGGCCTGGGAAAAGCAGCAAAAATGGCCCAAGTACTTGGGCCCCTGCCACCCAAGTAGGTAATCTGGATGAAGCTTCTGGCTCCTGGCTTTGGCCTAGCCCAGCACTGGCTATTGCAGCCATCTGGGGAATGAACCAGCAGATGGAAGATCTCTCTCTGTATCCATCCCTCTCTCTGTAACTCTTTCAAAATAAATAAATAAATTTAAAAAAAAAAAAAAGAACATTGTTGGGCCAGCTATATCATTCTCTCAATTCAGTGAATTCCTTTTTTATTTTTTTTATTTTTGGACAGGCAGAGTGGACAGTGAGAGAGAGAAAGAGAGAAAAGTCTTCCTTTTGCTGTTGGTTCACCCTCCAATGGCCGCTGTGGCTGGCGCACCGCGCTGATCCTAAGCCAGGAGCCAGGTGCTTCCTCCTGGTCTCTCATGGGGTGTAGGACCCAAGCACTTGGGCCATCCTCCACTGCACTCCTGGGCCACACAGCAGAGAGCTGGCCTGGAAGAGGGGCAACCGGGACAGAATCCGGCGCCCCAACCGGGACTAGAACCCGGTGTGCCGGCGCCGCAAGGCAGAGGATTAGCCTAGTGAGCCGCGGCACCAGCAGTGAATTCCTTCTGATAAAGGGCGAATAAGGACACCTTGGGCTAAGCGAGACAGATGAGAGACTGGATGCCGCTTTTATATTTTAGAGGTTTGGTTTCAGTGCTTGCTGTAAAGTGTAAAAATAGGGAAGTTTATTGAGTAAAAAGTGATAGTTTTCTTTTACCACAATTTTGTGATCTTTTTGTGTTTTTGCATTTTTTATAAAAATGGGAACTATTTTATGTTTTGTTCTGTGACTTTCTTTTTTTTCTTTGTAAATCTTCCAAACCATAGAATTCTTACAGTAATTATATTTTTGTCTATATTTTTCCCTCAGTATATTGTAGTACTGTCATTTGTTTTATCATTTCCTTACTGGTAAACATTTTGATTGTTTGTAGTTTATTATCATTGTAAACAATGTTGCAGTGAACAACTTGCATGCAAAGTTTCAAATCTGTATTCACCAGATGTCCCTTCCCTCCCCCTCCCCCTCCCCATCCCTTCCCTTCTCTCTTTCCCTCTCTCTTTCTTCATTTGGCAGAGTGACAGAAAGTGAGAGAGACAGAGAATAAGAGAGAGATCTTCTCTCTGTTGGTTCACTCCCCAAATACTGCAACAGCCTGGGTTTGGTCAGGCTCAAGGCAGGAGCCAGGAACTCCATCTTAGTCTCCCATGTGGGTGGCAAGGACCCAAACACTGAGCCATCATTTGCTGCCTTCCACAGATGCATCAGTAGGAAGCTAGATCAGAAGGAGAGCAGCTGGGACTAAAACCGGCACTCTGATATGGGTTGCTGTGCAACAATGCTGGCCCCAGATGTTCCCTTTTTAAAAAAAATCCACTTTGGAGAGATGGATGAGAAGTGGGTAGCTAGAGCTGATTCAGAACTGCGGCTTTAGGTTCCTCCCTAAAGTAGTGGAGGGGTGAGTTGAAGTTCCAGACTATTTTCCCTTTGTCATTCTTTCTTCTTCCAATCTGGTGAAATAAATACATATAAAAGTTCAAAGTCCAATTATGTATAGCACAATCCTTGACCTTGCCCTATACTCATACTTCAGACAATGGGATAGAATTTTATACCACCATCAAACTATAGGTCAGAGAAATGTCTCAGAAATGTGAGGAGTTAACCACACTTATAAATCTGCCATACTTCCTTTTATCTAGGAGCTGTTGATCCCAAGAAGCACCAATTTTAAATTTTATTTACTAATCAAGAAGAATATTGAGGCTAATTTAAGATACAATCAATTTTGGGAGTTATTCCAATTTTAGATATGTCATTATGTGAAAAAAAAAGATGTTAGAACTTATAGAATGTGACAGTTGTAACTAAGATTCTTGAAAAAAGGTAAAATAAGGAACAAAGCATGGAAAAGCCAAACAAAAAAGTCATTATAGAGCAAAAAATAGATAAAAGGAGAGAAAAAATTGCCTGTGATTGGTGTAGAAAAGCATAAAGAGAATATGAAAGCAACAAACTAGATCTCTTTAGGATGAGCTGGGACGATAGTAGAATAAAATGAAAAGGAGATTTAAACCAAAGGAGATAAATTGAACATTAAACAATAGTATTATAAAACAAATAATAACAAAAACAAAAAGAGACGATGTTGCTGAAAATTAAATTATTTAAAAAATTTCTCTAGTTCTTACACTTTGCTTTTTTTTTTTTTTTTTAATTTCACAGATAGAGTTAAAACAGTGAGAGAGAGAGACAGAGAGAAAGGTCTTTCTTCCGTTGGTTCACTCCCAAATAGCCACTATAGCCAGAGCTACGCCCATCTGAAGCCAGGAGCCAGGTGCTTCCTCCTGGTCTCCCATGTGGGTGCAAGGGCCCAAGCACCTGGGTCATCCTCCACTGCACTCCCAGGCCACAGCAGAGAGCTGGACTGGAAGAGGAGCAACCGGGACTAGAACCCAGTGCCCATATGGGATGCCGGCGCCACTGGAAGAGGATTAACCAAGTGAGCCACGGTGCCGGCCCCACAATTTACTTTTGTTTTTAAATATTTCATTATTTACTTTGAAGAGATGGAGAGACACAGAGAGGGAGAGAGCACTGCCATCTACTGATTCAGTCCTAAATGTCCTCGGTGGTCCTGGGCCAGGCATGGGGCCAAAACTGTAAGCCAGGAACCCAACCCAGGTCTCCCACATGAATAACTGGAACCCAACTATTTGAGCCATCACCACTATCTCCCAGGGTCTGCATTAGCAGGAAACTGGAGTCAGAAGTAGTGCCAAGTGTCAAACTCAGGAGTTGAGGTGAGTGTCAAACTCAGGAACTCTAATATGGGGTGCTGGCATCTCAACTGGTTTCTTAACTGCTAGGCCAGATGCCTGTCTTTGAAAATTAAATTCTGACAGCTCAAAGTAAATACAGTGGACGAAGAGATTAAAGGAATTAAATAAACTGTAGGTATGGAGGATAAGTGTGATTCAACATAGGGATTTTGGTGTTTCATGTAAACAATGTCTCCAAATTATTACTGTAACAGAATTCAAAATATGATAGGGTCTGGTGCTGTAGCATAACACGTTAAGCTGCCACCTGCAATGCCAGCATCCCATATGGGCACCTGGGAAAGCAGCGGAAGATGGCCCAAGTCCTTGGGCTCTCGCACCCATGTGCAGGAGACCTGGAAGTAGCTCCTGGCTTCTGGATTTGGCTTGACCTGACCCAGCCCCAACCATTGTAGCCTTCTGGGGAGTGAACCGGCGAATGGAAGATTTCTTTTTATCTCCTTATTTCTCCCTCTGTCTCTCTGTAACTCTGCCTTTCAAATAAATAAAATAAATCTTTAAACAAAAAAAGAAGAAAAATTCTCTCTAAAGCAGAACTGAATCTATAGAAGAAGAGTAGATTATAAGAAAAATTGATATAGAACAATCATTAACAAAAATCCTGATGAAACTTTTCAGCTTCAGTTTTTACTACATTTGAAGGCATCTGGGCAGAAAAGGGATGAAGTCAGCCTGGCTTTACATTATTTTCATGTATCTTGATATTTCTGAAGCAAAGAAAGCATGGGCTGATAATATGTCAGCATAGTAGTCATTCAGATACGAAGGCAGCTGAGGATATTCTCAGACATAAAAGAACTCAAGAAATATGACAGCAGTAGCATTTTTTTTTAAAGATTTATTTATTTTACTTGAAAGTCATAGTTACACACAGAGAGAGAGGGAGAAGCAGAGAGAGAGAGAGAGAGAAAATCTTCCATCTGCTGGTTCAGTCCCCAAATGGCCGCAAAGGCCGGAGCTGCACTGATCTGGAGCCAGGAGCCAGGAGCTTCTTCCAGGTCTCCCACATGGGTGCAGGGGCCCAAGGACTTGGGCCATCTCCCACTGCTTTCCCAGGCCATAGCAGAGAGCTGGATCAGAAGTGGAGCAGCTGGGTCTCGAACCGGCGCCCATATGGGATGCCGGCACTGCAGGCGGCAGCTTTACCTGCTACACCACAGCGCCGGCCCCAGTAGCATGTTTTTTTAAAAGATTTATTTATTTTTATTTCAAAGTCAGAGTTACACAGAAAGAGAAGGAGAGAGAGAGAGAGAGAGAGGTCTTCTATCTGCTGGTTCACTCCCAAGGTGGCTACAATGGCCGGAGCTGTGTCAATCTGAAGCCAGGAGCCAGGAGCTTCTTCTGGGTCTCCCATGTGGGTGCAGGGGCCCAAGGACTTGGGCCATCTTCCACTGCTTTCCCAGGCCACAGCAGAGAGCTGGATCAGAAGTGGAGCAGCCAGGACTCGAACCAGCACCCATATGGGATGCCAGCACTGCAGGCGGTGGCTTTACCAACTATGCCATAGCACCGGCCCCTAGCATCTTTTTGGAAGAAAAATAATATTACTTGAAAGTGAAATCCATTCAACAAAAGGATGAAAGGATAAATTGTACTATAATGACTAGTGTGTTACAGAATGCCAGGAAAAATTATGAATTTGTAGTTCAAATGGAAAAATAGTATATTCTGAAAGTTTATGCAAGCCAAATTTTCTTTTAAGAATAAAGACAAGTGGCAGGTATTGTTGTGTAGCATTTTAATCCACTACTTGGGATGCCTACATCCCACGCTGAAGTGCTGCTTCTGTTTCTCATCCACCTTCCTGATAATCATCCTGGAAGATAGCACAGGGCTCAAGTGCTTGGGCTCCTGCCACCCATGTGGGGGATCTGAATGAAGTTCTGGGCTTCAGCCTCACCCAGCCCTTGCTATTGCTGGCATTTGGGAAGTAAACCACTATGAGGGAAGAAATCTTTCTCTCCTGCTCTGCCTTTCAAATAAATGAAAATATAGGAGCATTAACTAAAAAGAATAAAGACAAGCAATGCTTACTTATCATATATTCATGGAGTGTTAAACACATAAGAACTCTTCAAACACATGATACATTGACAGTGAAATTCAGCCACCCAAATAGTAAGTATGCAGACTTCAGATAGAAGACAGATGTAAGCCTTCCATCCGTTTAAATATATACCTAATATCAAACACCTAGGAAAATTGTGACAGCACAATTGAAAGTTATTAATCATAACAGAAAAAATAATAAACCAGGAGGCAGAAGGTATGTAATTTTTTTATCTAATATCTGGAAATCAGTACTACTATCTAAATTTAAAGCATATAGTTAAACAGCATACAGACACAAAGAAATCAACTTGAAAAAGTGAAATCTTTTTTCTTCTTTCATTTTTCAGATTATTGAATGTTTTAGAAGTAATAGCTCCCTTCAAGCACTTTAACAAGCTTAGAGAGTTTGTTCAGATGAAGCTGCCTCCAGGCTTTCCTGTAAAATTAGGTAAGAGAAAAAGAGAAAAATGTAAACTCATGTTTGTGTATATTATAAATATGTAGCTGTTTATTAACATTTAATAAGTCATATTTTAAGGGAAAATAGATTTCCTAGTTGCTTATATATTTGTAAAGTATTTCTAAAATTATATGCATTGATATTCATATTTTGTCAGATGTACAAAATGCCTGTTGAGGGTTCAAATTCCACTTGATCTAAAGTAAGTATAAAGAGGGCTGCGCACTGTGGCATGGTAGGTAAGCCTCCTCCTGCAGCACTAGCATCACATATGGGTGCTGGTTTATGTCTTATCTGCTCCTCTTCTGATCCAGCTCTCTGCTGATGGCCTGGGAAAGCAGTGGAAGAAGGCCCAAGTGCTTGGGCCCCTGCACCTGCATGGGTGACCTGGAAGAAGTTCTTGGTTCCTGGCTTTGGATTGGCCCAGCTCCAGCCATTATGGCCATTTGGGTTGTGAGCCAGTAGATGGAAGACCTCTGTCTCTCCTTTGCTCTCTCTGTAACTCTGCTTCTCAAATAAATAAATAAATAAATAAATCTTTAAAAAAATAAATGTAATAGATATGAAAATATTTCATAGATAAAGGTAAACCAATGATGTAATGTAATAATATTTTTAATAGGAAATAGGGAGACTGTAGTTTAGCCCAAATCTGTAGCATCCTGTGAGTTTCTGCATAGTGGGAATATTTCAAAATAGTAGTCATATTTTTTATTTGTTAGTCTTAAAGATTTTAACTTAATTTCATCTGAAGTCAAGAACTTTAGAAACAGTAAGATATCATTTTTTGCATATACTTATCTTTTTAACTTAGAAAACTGGTTACCGGAGACTAATAAAAGGTGCTTAATAGTTTAGGACTTTAGGCTTAGATTTGGTATGAATTTTAGGTTTAGGAGTGCCTTCAGTACCATGCACCGATCTAGCCAAGCAATATTTAATTAGTGGTTGTGCTGTGGTCGATATCCTTCTAGAGATGAGAGACAACAAAAGTTTCTGCTCCCTTGGTGTTCACATTCTAGTGGGAGAGAAAACTCAATAGAGCAACTATAATCTTTATATTATTCTTGGATATATTTCAATATTTTCAAAACTACGTCTCAGGATAAGTAGGCAAACATGTTTACTATCAGAAATAACATTTTCATTGTTAAAAATTAAGCCAGATGGTCTCAATTTTCCAAACTTGGGAGTAAGCATTAAAATGGATGATAAAATGATTTTGAAATGTCATTCTAGTTCCTCTTTACCATACAAAAAGCACGGGGAGCCCAGTGTCTACTTAAAGAAATGAAGCAGTGGAAAATGGTCCTTGGCCCTTGCCACTCACTTGGGAGACCTGGAAGAAGTGCTTGACTCCTGGCTTAGGCCTGGCCTAGCATTGACTGTTGTGGCCATTTAGGGAGGGAACCAGTGGATGGAAGACCTTTTTCTTTCTTTCCCTCTCTCTGTAACTCAGCCTTTCAAATTAATTAATAAAATTCTTAAAAAATTTCAAACCCAAATCAACATCATGGTACAGTATAGATTTTTATGCAAAATAGATATTTTTATTATATGGGAAGAAAAAATAATCTACAGTACTTTTTTGCAGAAATTTCTCTGATGAAAAGTTACATTCTTCTTCTTGTTGTTGTTATTATTATTATCTTGAGAGGCAGAAAGAGAAAATGCCAGTGAACTCTGGTCTATTGGTTCATTCTCCAAATGCCTGCAATGAGTGACTGGGGTTCGGTTGGAGCTAGAACTAGGAGCTCTGAACTCAGTCCAGGTCTCCTAAGTAGGGAGCAGGAAGCCAATTTCTTTAGCCATCAACTACTGCCTCCTAGTGCCTACACTGACGAGAAGTTGGAGTCTGGAACTGGGAATCAAACCCTGGAACTCCGATTTAGGATGAAGATGTCTTAACTGCTGGGCCAAACACCTACCACAGAACTACAGTCTTTTTCTTTTTTTTTTTTTTTTTTTAAGATTTATTTATTTTGTTTGAAAGACAGACTTACAGAGAGAGGTAGAGCTAGAGAGAGAGAGGTCTTCCATCCACTGGTTCACTCCCCAAATGACTGCAACAGCCAGAGCCGAGCTGCTCTGAAGTCAGGAGCTGGGAGCTTCTTCTGAGTCTCCCATGCGGGTACAGGGGCCCAAAGGCTTAGGCCATCTTCTACTGCTTTTCCAAGCCATAGCAGAGAGCTGGATTGGAAGTGGAGCAGCCGAGACTTGAACCAGCACCCATATGGGATGCCAGCACTGTAGGTGGCGGCTTTACCTGTTACACCACAGAGCTGGCCCCAGAACTACATTCTTAAAAAGGGGTGGATAATCTTGCTTGTATACTTAAAGTTATGAGGAATTTGTTCAGCTATTCTCTTATTTTCTTTTTGAACCAATCCTGTAAAATACCATTCCTGGGTTGGTTTAATTTTCCATCATTTCTGTTTCTATATTTAGGATAAGAATCATAATTAGGAGAAAATTATAAAAATTTGAAAATTGTCATTAACATAAGTTTTTAAAATCAACCAGAGCTTTAAATATTGATTAGATATGATCGTTTTCTGATTTGATTTTCTCATTCTTCTCAAAGGCTAAATTTGAACCTCTTTTATCAACCCTCCATACTCTCTTACTATTTCCTCTTACAGTCTAATCAGATCATTTTACTTCCTTCATTACAAAAACAGCAATCAGAAATGGGACCTCTCTCACTGTTCCCAAACATCCTATGTGGAATTTCCTGCACGAGGCCTTTCTTCTCCTCCATCTGTTCTCAGTAGAAGTGACGCCAGTCTTCATAGCTTGAATGATCTCTTCATTTGTACTATTAATCTATTGTCTTCCCAGCTATTTTAAAAGTTTGCTGGGGGTGGGAAGTGTTGTGGTACAGCAGGTTAAGCCATCATTTGGGATATCCACATTCTGTATCAGAGTTCCTTCAATTGAAACCCATCTGTGCTTCTGACCCTGCTTTCCAACCGGGCTTCCAGCTATTGTGCCTTGGAGGCAGCAGATGACCCAAGTATCGGATGCCTACCACCCATGTGGAAGACCCAAATGGAGCTCCCAGCCCCTGGCTTCAGCCTGGCCCAGTCCCTGCTGTTGCAGGAATTTAGGGAGTAAATCAGTGGATAGAAGATCTCTCTCTCCTCCTTTCAAATAAATAAAAAAATAAGCATTTAAAAATTAAAGCTTGCTGTGTCAGTTATGCCATAGTCCTTTACATTTTACCTCCCTTTTCTACTATTGATGTTTCCTTCTTAATTGCTAGACTTTCTCATTTTAGATTCAACCAACTGAAAAAAAAATCTCAGTAATTTACCATATCCAAAACCTACTTTAATCTTTGCTTTCCAAAGCCAAGGTATTTTAAAGTTTACTAATCTCTCCAATCTTGCTTCCTATTTACAATTATATTTTAAATGGGTGAGGGATAAAGGGATATAAAGGGAAGCAAGATTTCTCTATTTCACTTGAATTGGTATTTCTGTATTTCACTTGAATTGGTAAAATGATGACACTATACCTAGGTAAACAGTAATGAAGCTGTACAAAGAGGTACACTCAGAAACACTATAAATAAAAATGAAGTTATAGGAGCTGGCTTGGGCAATCTTCTTCTACTGCTTTCCTGGGCCACAGCAGAGAACAGTGGAAGTGGAGCAGCCAAGATAAGAACCGCTGCCCATATGGGATGCCAGCACTGTAGGCAGCGGCATTACCCACTACCCCACAGCACCAGCCACATCATGGATTGATGATTTCATTATTACATAATATTCTTCCTTGTCTCTGATAATTTTTTTATCTGAAATCTTTATTTAATTTTATTATAATCAGTCCTGCTTTCCTTTGGTTAAATTTGCATTATATATTCTTTCATCCTTTTATTTTAATCTGCTTGTATCATTATAATTGATATGAGTTTCTTGCTGACAGAATTGAATCATAATTTTAAATCTTCTCATCAAAAACCCTTCAGGCTAGGAAAGAATGAGAGATATAGTCCATGTCTTAAACAAACAAAAAAAAAAACTGTCAACCCACAATAGTGTACCCTGAAAAGGTCTAATTTCTGAATGAAGGTGAAATAAAGACCTTTCATAACAAACAGAAATTGAAAGAACTTGTTACCACTTGTCCAGCCTTATAAATGATGCTTACAGATCTGCTACAGAGTTACTAACTTTTATACCAAAATCACAGTCCATAAAAGGAAAAATCAATAAATTGGATTTCATCAAAAGTTAAAAACATGGTTTGCTCTCAGAAAGAAAGACTTGGGTAAAAGTAACAAAACACAAGCTATGGAGGGGGAGAAGATATTTTCAAACCATATATCTTAACAAAAGTCCAATACCTAGAATAAACAAATAACTCTCATAAGTCATCAAAAGCCAATTAGAAAAGGGTAAAAGACACAAAGAAATATTTCATTAAGGCATATATAGATATGGAAAATAAGTACATGAAAATTATTCAGTATTATTAGCCTTTGGGGGTATGCAAGTTAAAACTATGAGGAGATACCATTATATATCTAATAGAATGGGTGAAATAAAGTATTGTGACAACAACATCTTAGTGAGTGAAGATGTGGAGAAACTTGATCACTTGTAGTATTATGATGGTTTACATTGGTACAGCCACTCTGGTAAGTGTTTTGGTTTCTTAAAAACTAAAGGTACAACAACTACCATGTAACCAAGTAGTTGCACTCCTAAGCGTTTATTCCAGAAAATTAAAGATTATGTTCACACAAAGACCTGTACACAAATGTTCATTTCATAGCAGCTTTATTTGTAATAGCTGAAGAATTACAATTTTCAATAGATAAACTACAGTATATCTATAGCATGGACTACTCTTAAGCAATAAAAAAAGAATAAATTGTTGATACATGAGAAGCAGCCTAGATGAATAACCAGAAAATTATGATGGGAAAAGAAAGCCAGTCCCAGTGGTGACATCCTATATGATTCCATCTATGTAAAGCGCTTGAAGTAAAAAATATAACAAAACAAAAACTAGAGAAATGACGAGTTAACTGGGGTCCAGGAATTAAGGAATGGATGAGGCACAGGCATAATGGATGTAAATGTGAGGGATTTGACACGAGGCAGTGTGTGGTTCTGGGAATACTCTGAAACTTTTCTGTTTATTTTTTTAATTTGAATTCTTAGCAGATTCATTGTGATTTATAGATACAGATCTATGAATGTAATGGTATTTTCTTCCTCCTCCTCTCTCCTGCTCACCCTTTTTCTCCCCCACCCTTTTTGTATTTTTGTTGTTGTTTTTAAAATGGAAAGATGGGGAATGTTGAACCAGTGGATGTGATCTCTTCCCTGTCTCGCCCTTCTGCCAATAAATAAACCAACAATTTTTAAAAATTAATACTGACTTTTGTTTTAAGCTTTCATTTTTGAAGCCCGGCCTCCAGGTGATCTGCAGGAAGGGTAGGGGGCGGGGTGAGAAAGGAGATGGCAGCTAGGGCAGTAGTGGTGAGGATGGCAAAGGCAGGAACCAGGAAGAGACTGGCAGAAGCAGCAACTCCAATGCAGCAATGGCCCCAGCAGCACAGGCCATCGTCAATACGAAGGACAAAATCTTAGAACCAATAAGAGTGCTTTAAGTTGGCTAGAAGAAAGAATGAGTTCTCAGAATTAGTATCTTTCGCTTGGGGCCAGTGCCGTGGCACAGTAGGTTAATCCTCCGCCTGCAGCACCAGCATCCTATATGGGCGCCGGTTCTAGTCCCGGCTGCTCCTCTTCCAATCCAGCTCTCTGCTGTGGCCTGGGAAAGCAGTAGAAGATGGCCCAAGTGCTTGGGCCCCTGTACCCCCATGGGAGACCAGGAGGAAGCTCCTGGCTTCTGGTTCCTGGCTTCGGATTGGCGCAGCTCTGGCTGTTGTGGCCATTTGGGGAGTGAACCAACGGAAGGAAGACATTTCTCTCTGTTTCTCCCTCTCACTGTCTGTAACTCTACCTCTCAAATAAATAAATAAAATCTTAAAAAAATTAGTATCTTTTCTGTAAGTCGTTAAGAAGTGCATTAAAGATTTATATATGTATTGGAAAGTCAGAGTTACACAGAAAGAGAAGAGGCAGAGAGAGGTCTTCCATCCGCTGGTTCACTCCCCAGTTGGCCTCAATGGCCAGGACTGCGCAGATCCAAAGCCAGAGCCAGGAACTTCCTCCAAGTCTCCCATGTGGGTGCAGGGGCCCAGGGACTTGGGCCATCCTCCACTGCTTTCCCAGGCCAATGCAGAGAGCAGGATTGGAAGTGGAACAGCTGGGATATGAACCTGTGCCTGTATGGATGCCGGCACTGCAGGTGGTGGCTTTACCCGCTATGCCACAGCGCTGGCCCCGAGATAACATATTTTAAAATTATATTACAGTAAAGTATGCTTAATACTTCATCAAATAATTAGTTTAACCAGTAAAAAGCAAAAAGACCCTAGTTTAATGAGAATATTGACAACAGCTATAAACAATAATTGAATGGAAAAATGGACATTTCACCCATATATAGTAAATTTTGAAGTAATCGCAGATCATTAAAACTATAGTAGTATAACATTCTTTTTTATTATTTAAAAAAATTTTTTTTTGACAGGCAGAGTGGACAGTGAGAGAGAGAGGCAGAGAGAAAGGTCTTCCTTTTGCCATTGGTTCACCCTCCAATGGCCGCGGCGGCCAGCGCATTGCGCTGATCTGAAGCCAGGAGCCAGGTGCTTCTCCTGGTATCCCATGCGGGTGCAGGGCCCAAGCACCTGGGCCATCCTTCACTGCACTCCCGGGCCACAGCAGAGAGCTGGCCTGGAAGAGGGGCAACTGGGACAGAATCTGGTGCCTCTACCGGGACTAGAACCCGGTGTGCTGGTGCCGGTGGAGGATTAGCCTACTGAGCCGCAGTGCCGGCAGTAGTATAACATTCTTAACATTGGTTTAACAAAGGCATAAAATTTTACAAAACTATATTTGCAACAGTACTGACAGACATAGACGTTTGTTTTTTGTTTGGTTTTTAAATTTTAGTTCCCACTTATAAGGGAGACCATGTGGTATTTGCCTTTTTGGTAATATTCTTAATCTTTTCCTGTATTGCCAATGTTCAGATTTTGATATTGTTTTGTTTATAAGAAGCTACTGTTGGGGGGAAATTGGATAAAATATTCAAGGGATCTTTCTGTATTATTTCTTACAGTGGCCTGTAAATCAATTATTATCTCAAAGTAAAAGGTTATCTCAAAGTAAAAAGTTTACTCACTCCTTTCTTAGTCCATTGTAGATTTTCTTTCTCTTCCACTCTTACATGCTTATTATTGATATTCGTATGGTTAAATCTAATGGAAACTTTCTGTTTTTCTCTTAACTTTTGGCAAGATTTGACTCTCTTGAGGGGTCGTCTTTCAATGAGTGATTCCTGGAGCATGTCTCCTTTTTTGCTTTTGTCAGTCTAGGAGACTTTCTCAGTACTTCTGCTAAAACTTGTTACATTCCTACTCCTGTCTCATCCCCAGTAGTTTTACATCTTCTCTATAGTAAAAGGCAAAGTCTTTTCATTGGCCTAAACCCCACCTTTAACTGCCTGTTTCCTGTTTGACCTCATCTCCTGCCAATTTCTCCCTCCTTCCCTTGGTTTCAGTGACACTGGCTTCCTTGCTGTTCCTAGAATAAACCAGGCATTTTCCTTTGGGGCCTTTTGTACTTGTTCCTTCTGTTTAGAATTTTCATCCTCTAGGCAACATCATGGTTGTTATCTCAGCTCATTGCTGGAAGATCATCTCACTGAGTTTTCTTTGGACCAGCAACTCTTACCCTATTCTCTATCATGCTTTACTTTTCTGTAGATGCTAATCACTGTTACTTTTTACGTATTTGTTAGCTGTCTCTCCCAACTAGACTTTAATCTCCATAAATATGTGAATTTCATTTTTTGTTTACTGACTTGTAGCCAATGCCCTTAACAGGGGTCAGCAGACTTTTTCAGGAAGTTAGTAAATGTTTTAGGCTTTGTAGTCCATGATTTCTGTAACAACCATTCAGCTCTTTTTGGAGAATGAAATTAACTATAAGCAGTAAGTAAATGAATGGATATGTTGTATTCCAAAACTATTTATGCACACTGAATTTTGACTTTCATGTAATTTCACTTCATGAATATTATTCATTTTTTTCTTCAACAACATGAAAATGTAAAAATTTTTCTTTGCTCACAGGCCAGGCTGTGGGCCTTGGTTTGTTGAATCCTGGATTAGAATCACACCTACATATAGAAGGCACAAATGAATGATTTTTTTTCTCCCAAGAAATAACTGGAAACCTATTAATTCTTATATTTATTTTTGTGTTTAATGTAGCTTTGTTCTTATACAAGAACATTATTTTCTGTAATAAGCAGTTGGCCTGTAGTAAACTGAATTTAAAATGTCCTTTCCCTACAAAGACACCTGAGACAGCATTCATACATTCCTTTCATAGTGTTTGGAGACTTTGAGAGTTCATTTTATAAATTAAATTCCTGAGGCTCTTAAGTAAAATGATTTGCAGAAAGCAGAACCCAGGTTTTATGATTTATGCTCTAATAATTCATATTAGCAATAAGACTAACCAGAAAGATTACTGTATCTGCTTATTTTTAATGTCAGATTTTAGTCAGAAATGTGTTTCACTTAGAACACTGTTTGGCTAGGGTGGTGTGGTATTGTTCCAACTCTGATGAGTCCATTTTTACCCCCACATATTTATGATAGATTGCTTTTAGTGTTTTAAAACAAAAATGATTAATTATTTCACTTGGATTACTAAAAATGAAAAATGAGCTCAAAGAGTCAGAGTAATATGTATACCATAATCTGAAGAAATATGTCAGGATGCAAAACTATAAAATATAGCTGTTCTTTTGTCCCAAGGGAAAAAAAATAGAGTGATGGAATTGGCATTACATTCTTAAGACTGGTGGAAGGGATTTGCTCTTGAATGTAATTCACATGACTCAGTGTCTGTACCTCCTCACTAGAACCCAAACCCTTCCCAAGAGCACATAAATACTTGATATGAGCCATAAGTTTGAATTTGTCTGGTCTCTGAGTAATTTTTTTTTTGAAATTTTAAAGCATATGTCGGACATATGATGCTTTTTAGTCTACAAATCGATTAACAATTGATTTTACAGTATTATCATTGTTCTCTCTGTAGATATACCTGTGTTTCCCACGATCACAGCCACTGTGACTTTTCAGGAGTTTCGATATGATGAATTTGATGGCTCCATCTTCACTATACCTGATGACTACAAGGAAGACCCCAGCCGTTTTCCTGATCTTTGACTGACTGGAAGATGATGCCACCTAACCCAGGAAGGAGAATGCAGGGACCCCAGAAGTGAATCCAAATAGAAGGGACAAGTGCTTTCCATGAAGAAAAGGGAATTACACATTGAATTGACACATCAGTAACATGATAATGAAATGGGCATCTAATAAGAATTTCAGCAAGTTTTCTGATGTGCCACTTTCAGTCTTTTTAAAAATATACTTACTATAAGTGTAATAGTTTGACACCTTAATGACCCTAAGACCTTCATATGTAAAGCAGCTATGAGTGCTGTGATTTGTTTTTAAAAATTTTTACACTTCTTTCTTGTTGAAATATATATGCATATAAATATATCTATATCTATATCTATATCTAAAACACTCCTGGACCATTAACATAAATTAAATGTCTTAAGAGATATGAAGCCCTTTTAAAGTTGTCATCTTATATTCAAGGTGACATTTATATATATAGTCCTTCAAACTTTGTTTTCATAAAATGTAAACTATGTAACATTATGTATAGTTCAGTAATTTGAATGTTTGTTCAGTATAATGAACTAGAAGGAATGCAATTTTCTGTAGACGAATGAACCAAATGGTAACCATTAAACAATTGCATTTATATGTTGCAATACATTTCAGAAGGAGCGTTCACTCTGCAGGGAATAAGGTACCTCCTTTAGCACCTTAGTGCAATTCATTGTGGTGCTATTTGTTTTTACCTGAATTCTTTCTTCAATGGAAAACGTTTGTTACTAATCTTCCTTTCATAGAACCTCTATTTTTTTCCTAAACTTGAGTTTCAGAGTCCTTGTTTTGTTCATGATAAGGTACGGTTAGCATGCTTAAACATAGTCCTCTTCCAAATCTCAGCACTTTAAAACAAAATCCAAATTTTTAAACTTGCTTCCTAGTAAGTGCACATCAGTCTGATTATTTTGTTTGTTTTTAGTGGAATATGGATGCACTGATGTCAGTTTTAAAAAACAGTCTACATGTTTTAGACAACCCTACACAACATATTTAAAGCTTTCAAAATATGATAGTAACATTTTATATGCTAACAGACTATATTTGTTACAAGTAAAAGTCCAAAAGCATATACAAGAATGGTGATTCCTATTGTTTATTTTTTTTTAAATCACAGGAAAATATTTATGGATTTTAATTGTCTCCAAAATGTCAAAATCATGTATTACTCACTTTTGCAACTTAAAATTTTTCATATTTATTCCAAGATGGTTGGACGGTCCAAGAATGAAAATAAATTAGGGAGAATAATGTGTAACAGTCATAAAGTGTCATGTTGTATTAAAGAGCTAAGCTAAATGTTTTTAAAATGTATCTTGATGAATGTGTCAAGAATGCATCTGTCAAGTTTTTTTTTTTTTAGAATGATCAGCAGTTTCAACTTTTTCCAGGGTTTTAGATAATTTCAAATGAATTTAGAGACCTTTATTGAAGAGATGATTTATTAAAAAAATCCAAACAATCAACCATAAGAAAATTTTTATAATAAACATCTTTAAAGCTGCATCACCCATACTGATACATACATTGCATTTGTTGACATTTGATTAAATATATTTTGTAAGGAAGAAAAAAGTCATAGTTAAAAATTCAAAGACTTCATTATTACCATATGTGGGCCTGTTGAATTTTGAGGAAAGAATTGGTAAACTCAGACTTGCCTTTCTGAATAGAAGTAGATCCCTATTATTTACAAAATGGTTAGATCAAGAGAGAGAATTTGAATCATTGTGTCGATCAGTGATTTTAGGAAGTTTGAGAATCTGAAAGACAGTGATGACAAATGTCTTTAGCTCCCATTATTTTGTTGGAATGTGGTATACTTTCAGGACTATGTTGCAGATTTTTTTCATAAGTGCAGACAACTTAGGGAGGAAAAGTAGTAAGTTGTAGCTTGGGATTTATCAATTTCCTAAAAGCTGTGACTATTTTACTGGAGTACAGTGGTGATAGGAAGACTTCTGAAAACTTTGCACTTAAGTTTTGTTTTTAAGACGTGTCTTTTTCTTTAAAGAGTAGTTGAAACAGATTATCCATTTCAAAATGTCTTTAATCACAAAGAACAAACAAGTGTCAGTATCTTGTAAGAATAATGATGGAGGGGTTGGTGCTGTGGAGTAGTGGGTAAAGCCGCCGCCTGCAGTGCCAGCATCCCATATGGGCACCAGTCCAAGTCCTGGCTGCTCCACTTCTGATCCAGCTCTCTGCTGTGGCCTGGGAAAGCAGTGTGGTGCTGTGGTGCAGTGGGTAAAGCTGCCGCCTGCAGTGCCAGCATCCCATATGGGCACCAGTCCAAGTCCTGGCTGCTCCACTTCCTATCCAGCTCTCTGCTATGGCCTGGGAAAGCAGTAGAAGATGGCTCAAGTTCTTGGGTGCCTGCACCCATGTGGGAGACCCAGAAGATGCTCCTGGCTCCTGGCTTCGTATTGGTGCAGCTCAAGCCATTGTGGCCAACTGGGGAGTGAACCAGCGGATGGAAGACCTCTTTCTCTCTGCCTCTCCTTTTCTCTCTGTGTATCGCTTTCAAATAAATAAATAAATTTTTTTTAAAAATGGTGGAAAAAGTCAATGCAAATAAACTTTTCACAATATCAGATTTTTCAAAATTACCTTTTAATCCAATTAATGAAGCTACATACAGTTATAAGTGAATAGATCACAATATGATATATTTCATATCAAGATTTGTGATATACGTACATAAAATTTTATAGGCCTTGCATTTGTGATTTTAGAACGTTTTCAAATTGGGGGAGGGTGATGACAGTAATTTTTCTTAAAAAAAAAAAAGGTTTTACTTATGTTGATTTGAAAGGCAGAATGAGAGAGAGAGGAGAGTGGAGAAAGAGCGAGGTCGCGCTCTTTCCATCCACTGGTTCATACCTCAAATGCCTGCAACAGCCAAGACTGAGCCAGGCTGAAGCCAGAAGACGAATTCTGTCTCCTATATGGGTGGCAGGAACTTTAGTACTTGCTATCACTCTGCCTCCCAGGGTGTGTTATTAGCTGGAAGCTGGATTGGTTGAGAAGGTGGGACTTGATCCTAGGCACTCCAGTATGGGATGCAGCATTTCCATTGTTTAACCACTGCACCAAATGCCTGCCCCAAGTTAGCCAGCCATCTTAAATGGCCGTTTAGAAATTTTCACTATTCCTGCCACTATTGTATTTCAAGAAAGTATGACTCTTGTCTAAGAAATTTCTCTGACGAGACAATTTGTTCTCCATAGACATTCAAATACAGAGTTGTCAAGTTTTATAAAAAGGCAAGATTAAGCAGATGCACTGATTATTCTGAGTGTAAGTATGTAAGATGGATTGAAAATTGATACAGTCCATTGCTGATAAAAGCTGAAAATCTAGTTTCTTTCTCCTAGTGAGAACTGGTATTAAGCCCCACTTGTGCTAATAAAAATGGGTTTCTAGTGTTATTCACATAGAGTTTATTCACATCTTGTGGTAGAGTGGTGAATAATGACTGTTCCGTGAGGCCTTTCCCCACGCTTCACCAAGTATACAGCCAACAAAGGTCCTATTAGGAAAAGATGGAGTAGAAAACTTAGGTGAATTTTAAGTCCCGCATTTGGTATGCTAAATTTTAAAACTGAGTGAAAAAATTAATCAGCTTAGTATGGGATACAATATATTGTTAACTGCTGTTAACTCCAGCAAAAGGCTTCTTAGTCACATTTTCTAAGATTAACGAAACATACGTGTGCCAAAGTTGCTATATTTTGAAATTCTGGAAGCTTTCCAACAACTGGCAGTGAAACTTACCCTAGAGATAAAGGAATGGGAGATAATAAATCACCTGTAAGGACTACAAAACAATATTTTGGTGAAAGCCCTTGGTTTGTGCAATATAAATTAAAACCCATTTTTGTATGTATGTCAGAAGTTTGGGACAATAATATCTTTGCCATCTAAAAATCTGATACCATGTCAAGTATTATCCATTTTTTAAGTTGATGCCACTGTATTTTCAATGACTGCTTTGTGGTGAACTTTGTAACTGTTATAGCTCATTTTAGAACAGTAGTACTTTTAATAGTTTTAGTTATAATGGCACATGTGGTATAAAGAATTAAAATTTCACTTTGCCATAAACACACTTAAAAATTTTGAAGCAAAATTTCCTAAGTATATCCCAGAAAGTTACTAATCATTCCTCATTGTGATCATGTTTGGCAAGTGAAAAGAACTTTAATTAGTTTAGTTATACCATATGACATCACAAAACAAAAATATAAAACCCACCACTTATTTAGCTGTACTTCCCATAAATAGAGTTTTTCGTCACTAAAGAGGGCTGACAGTACTGGCTGGGATGTTTCTGGAACATAGAAAAGCGAATTTCGTAGTGCATACACATTGAGGTACATCTGCTGCTCCTTTGGCATTATGCAATATCTGGGCCACCTCCTTGGATTCTCCTTCAGCTTCTCAGACTTCTGGGCCAGATGTATGTTTAGGTCCATGATGAAGAGTCCTTGCTTTTGCAGAATGCTCACACCACCAAGGCCAGAAGCAATAATACCTGACTAGACTTTGAGTCCATCTTGTGGCTTCTCACGTGCACTTATGGTTGGTTCTAATGTATTCATATTGCCCCAACCACAATCATCCATCTTTCTGTCCCAATTGCTTGTGAGACATCAAACTTCAGCATTTGGCAGAAAGACAAAAGCCTTAAAAAGACTACTTAATCAGCTTGGATCCTGACCAATATATATTAATTTTGCATAAAGACATTCTTAATCTGATGCATGTCTCCCAAAGCTTGACATTTTAACCTTGTCAACTTAGTGAATGAAAAAGTCACTCTTAATATTTAATATGTTATATTCAGTGTATGAAACTAACATTCAGGAAGCTAAACCAATTCATATGTAGTATAGGAAAAAGATTCTTTAAAAATACATCTTGGGATAACTGGTAATTTTTGTTTAAGATTTATTTGAAAGGGAGAATTACAGAGAAAGGGAAGGACTAAAGGAGGGAGCGAGAGAGAGAGAGAGAGCGAAAGAGAATGAGAGAGATCCATTTGCTGGTTCACTCCCCAAATGGCCACAAGGCCAGGACTGGGCCAGACCAAAACCAGGAGCCAGGAGCTTCATGCATCGAGTCTCCCATGTAGGTGCAGGGGCCCAAGGACTTGGGCTGTCTTCGGCTGCTTTCCCAGGTGCATTAACAGAAAGTTGGATCGGAAGTGGATTCTTGATATGGGAACCCGGCTTTACCTGCTATACCACTGCGCCAACCTGCCCCCCGAATGGTAATCTATATCATTTGAAACATTCCATTTATGACCTTTGTCCTTCAATCTCTCAAGCTCTAAAACATTTTAGCTACTTTTTTCTTTTAACGGAAAATATTTTAAATTTTTTTTACTTATTTTCATTTTCTTTGAAATGCAGGGAATAATTGATCCTCCATCTGCGTGTACACTCCCCAAATGTCCACAACAGCACTAAGCCAGGCCAAAGCCAGGAGCAGATACTTCATCTGAGTCTCTCACATGGTATCAGGGAACCAAGTACTTGAGCTATCTGCGGCTGCTTTCCCAGGGTGCATATTAGCAGGAAGCTGGACTGGAAACAGAGCCAGACTTGAATCAAATAGGCAGGCACTCTGATACAAGGATGCAGGGGTCCCAAGCTGTGGGTAGCTCAACCACTGTACCAAACACCCTTCCTGACTAGCTTTCTTAAAAAACAAAACAAACAAACAAAAAAAAACAGCTAAAGCCACCGCCTGCAGTGCCGCCAGCATCCCGTATGGGCAACAGTTCAAGACCTGGCTGCTCCACTTCCAATCCAGCTCTCTGCTATGGTCTGGGATAGCAGAAGATGGCCCAAGTCTTTGGGCCTTGCACTCGCATGGAGACCTGGAAGAAGCTTCTGGCTCCGGATAGGCACAGCTCCAGCTGTTGAGGCCAATTGGGGTGCGAACCAGCAGATGGAAGACCGACTTCTCTCTGCCTCTCCTCTGTGTAACTCTTTGAAATAAATAAAATTTTTTTTTGACAGAGTGGACAGTGAAAGAGATAAAGGTCTTTTTCGATTGGTTCACCCCGCAATGGCCGCTGCGGCCGGTGCACCGCGCTGATCCGAAGCCAGGAGCCAGGTGCTTCTCCTGGTCTCCCATGGGGTGCAGGGCCCCTCCACTGCACTCCCGGGCCATGCCGGAGAGCTGGACTGGAAGAGGAGCAACCGGGACAGAATCTGGCACCCTGACCGGGACTAGAACCCGGTGTGCAGGCACGGCAGGCAGAGGATTAGCCTATTGAGCCAAGGCGCCGGCAAAATAATCTTAAAAAAGTCTAACTGAATTTGATATACTTGGACATAAAAGTGAACAAAAATAAAGCCAAGTAGAATAGATCCAAATATCTGTAAATCCCAAAGTCTTATTTAGAAAAGTTTAATTACCACTTTTGCTAATAAAGTCTTAGTAGCAAGAGACTATGGATACTTTTAGTACAAAGTACTGGTAGCAATTACATCTATTTTGTCCCATTGTCCTACATACAGGCTGTTTGTAAAAACTTAAATTTTGTAAACATATCACTTTTACAGTAACCCTGAAATAGTTCCAGAATTGAAAACTTCCAACTTAATGGGCTAACTAGAACACAGGAACACATGTATTGGATTAGAAAAAAATTTTATACAGCAAAGATATGAAATGCATTTGCTTGTTTTGAAATGCACTAAATTTAAATCATGCTAATTTTATCAGTCTTCAACAGCATGGACTCTAAACCCTTCCCTTGGTACCCAACTGGAAGATAGTTTTGCCAGAGATGAAGATGGCTTAACACACAACAGAGCCTGTTTTAAGATGCTGCTCCAAGGTTAGCTTTTGTTACAAAGGCCTATTTTTGTTTTCTTAGTCCTAAATACTTACTTTTTTAAGGTTCCATATAGAGAATATAGGGAAATTAACCAAAACTCATTTTCACAAAATTGTAAATGGCAATTCATCTTAGTGGTCTTACCATTACCCTTACAAAAATTAAAAATCCCACAAATACTAACCATTCACTGACCTAAGCACATATTTACGTTTTTGAGAGGTAGAGGGTATAGTTAGAGATAGAAGTTTGTATTTGCTGGTACACTCCCCAAATACCTGCACTAGCTGGGTTGGGCCATGCTAAAGCACACAATGAGTATTAATCCATGTCTCTCATGTGGGTGGCAGAGACCCAACCACTTTGAGTCAATACTATGGCCTCCCAGGATCCATATTATATGCAGCTAGAATCAAAACAGGGGAACTAACACTTGAATCCAGGCAGTAGTGTGGTCTGTGGATATCTCAACTGCTAGGTCTAAGGCCTGCTCCTACACTTATCTAACCAATTTTGAAGGCAGTGATCACTTCGTTATGCATGGGGAAAAACAAACAAAAAGAACCCCACAGGGTTCCCTACCTTTAAGTAAAACCCAAACTCATGACTGGACTTTTAAAGCTTTTAATTTCATGATACATCCTCTACCTCTCATTCACTCCTTAATGATTTAAGTAAATAAATAAGGACAAACGTTTTTCTAACAAAACCGCTTTTATTTTAATAATTTTTACTGCTAAATACAGAACAAAACAGTGTGGAGGCAGTGTTCACTTGATTTCATCTAGTTATCTCTTAAAAGGCTTGTGGCTTAGTGCAACACTACCTTTGTATAGAAAATGTCTGCAGAAATACTACGGATTCCTGTCACCACACTATCTTAAGTCAGTGGCACTGTTTTAAAACCAAAAATGTTTCTTACCCTCGAGAAAAGTTAGCATATTTGTATTCAAAGATTAAAAGTGAGGAAACAGATTCTGAATATTAGAATTACCATGTGAGACTGTCAATGCTGTTTTTTTCTCCTCAAAAATGGCTAACCTTCATCTATTAAAGGTTCAACTTTCATTTAGTAAAAAAAAAAAGTCTCTAAGTTCAAGTGTCATCTGTGTTTCACTTTTGTTTTTAAAAATGTAATGATTATTAGGGTCATCCCTAGAACTTCTTAGATACTCACTATAGACAAAATTCCTTATGATAAAATCTTTTAAAAGTTACTACAAACTGTAAAAACAATGCTGCTTTTCTATATGGCATTTCAATTTTAAAAGTTTTTTTTAAAAAAACAATTTTTACACAAAACTTGGATAAAAGCTACGAAGCTACAATTCCAAGTCTCATTTTTCCTTATTCCCAGTCACCCAAACACTACTCATTAATAAATGAATAAATATGCTATTTAGTACTATACAGTAGATACATATCATTGACAGCTTCTATACTATTCCAGAAAAGGCAAATATTTATATTTCACTGAAAATATAAATTTACTACATAAGGGTGGGATTACTATATAACCTAAACTTCACTGCATTATCCAACCCAAGTCTCACACCCCAAATGAGAAATTAAGATTACACTAAGCTAAGGACATTTCAGATAAAAATTATTTTTTACAATTCTAATGGCAACTATCAACTATGTGATGGATTTCATCTTCTTACTGTATTTAAACAGACAGACAGAACTTAATTTGTAAAATGAATGAGGTAACTGTCATACATTCAATTGCATAAATAAATACAAATAGTTTTACAGAAACATGAACATAAGTTTAAGGGTTTTATTATCAAAGTCTTGTAAAACAATTTCAGAAACTGTACATCAACATGGCACAGACTGTAGCCTACTTTTGTATTTGCTGCACAAAAGTGAAGCTTGAAACTCCTGTAACTAGGAACAGTTGCCTAACTACTTTGCATATAACATGGAATCACTGTGTGCATATGATTACTACTGCAGTAATAGTTAACACAAATTTATTGGTTTTATACATCTTGAGATCAAATAAAAAGTACATTATCAAGTAGATTTGTCTTATTTTAAAAGCATATGAAGGTCAATTTAAAATGCACTACCCTCTTTTTCATCAATGAGTTTAAAACTTTGAAAATCAGAACAAGAGAGAACTTTATTTTACAGATGAACTCCGAATAGTTGGAGAGCTTTCACTGATGTAGACGTGGAATAAATTATTTCAGAAAAAAAAAAAAAATCCCCAAACACCTTATGAAAAAGTATACAACTCTACTTCAAAATAAGCTATTTACTCACTGCCAAAGACAGTTTTATTTGAAATCTTATTTCTGTAATTAAAGCCTAATTAGCCATCAAAAAAGGTTAGTGCATATACAGACAACCTTTCAAAGTTAAACGAAAGCCACAAAAATTTAGCCATAAGGCTCAAAGGATTATCTATCTCAAATGCTCATTTCCAGATGTAATCTAACAATGTTAATTTGTCATGTCAACAAACAAGACCATAAGTAGATCCATCATGTTGGAAGATTTTAATGACATTTAGGATATTCTTGCCACAGTAACATGCAATCAGTGCATTCCCTACATGGCTCTATTATGGCAATGAATCAAATTCTAGAAATACTCTAAGAGAACTTACTTAAGAAAGGAGATCATACAACATAAACAATCCATGCCTGCTGTAGATGCATGCAGCTTTTCATTTGTATTTAAGAAGCAGCACTAGAATAGTAAAACTGCTTACTCAGTCAGATTTCACCATGACAAGAATTGTTTACCCATGTACCATTTTTCTAAAAGCTTTTTGATGTAAATAACTAATATCAATGTCAGAAGCTTTATAACCATTTATAACTCAGCTGTATACATCTAGGTTTGAGATGAACAAATACAGCATTAAGAAATCACACAAAGGAATGACACTGATGCATGTACACAGTTGGAGTCCCAAAGAGGCAGCATTCAGTCACTCATATCCATGTCTTCTTCATGATGGTCATCCCCATTCACTTTGGATTCTCTTAGCGAATCACCAGCTCCCTTTTCCACAGAACATTCCTTAGTTTTAGGTGAACCAGCTTCAACTGGTTTCTTCTCCTCTTTTTTCTCTTTCTCGCTGTCATATCCCTGTTCCTCTTCATCATAATCCCGTGTAACCTGCTTTGCCAAGGAGAATAATAAAAGTAAACTTCTTCAAAGAAGAAACACTTCTTGTAAGTACCAACACCGCCCCAAATACCTAAATAAGTTAGTTTGTAAACATACTTTTACATCTTTATCACTCTCTGATTTTCTTTCCCGTTCCTTTTCCTTATCTTTACTTTTCTTCTTCTTGCTTGTTGATCGTTCCCTTTCGTCTCTGCTTCTTTCTTTGTCTTTATCTTTCTTCTTCTCCTTTTTATGTCTAGAATGACATTAAAATAAAATGTGCTCAAAATGATTCAAAGGAACTGCTCAAGGTTTCACCCTGAAGTATAGAAACATAACTTGTATAGATGGCGAGTCTGATCCAGCATTCTCAAGATGAATATAGGAAAGCAAAGGTCCAATTTCAAAACACTAAAATTCCCAATCCTACAGAGTGTGCATTCCTCCAAGGCTCAAGTAAAAGACATTTTAAGCATTTTAATCCTAGAAAAGAAAAACTATGAGACAATTTAAAAAACTGAAAATTCCTGAAAAATACAAGGCTAGAGCTAAATGATAAGACATTTTTACCTCCTAGGGGATGGTGAGCGAGACAATTTTCGTTTAGGAGACCTGGGTTTTTTAGGAGATCTTGTTCCACTCCTGCTTCGTCGTCGTCGTCTATCTCTAAAATCACAAATGAACACACTATGCTTTAAAATACAGTATGATCTCAGCTTCACTAAGAATCCCTACAACATGCTTCTAATGAAACAACTGTTGTAAAATAGACACTTGCAAACTGAGCACTTTTCCATCTTTACTGCTCAAGAGCACCTCTAATTTCTGGCAATTGTTCTTAAAGAAATTCTGACAAAATATTAAACTTGAAAAAAGACTTATTAACAAATATCCTAAACCAAAGAGGAAAAAGTCAGAAGTAACCCATTATTGAAGAAATCAGTTTCAGATTTAAACATTCAGTGGACAGAACAGGTATAACAGAGTAATTCAATAATGCTGTGATATAGAAAGTAGTCAGACAGCCTTAGTCTAACAAATGACACAAATCAGAATTTGCATTGTCAGGGGCCAGCGCTGTAGCATAGCGGATAAAGCTGCTGCCTGCAATGCTGGCATCCCCTATGGGTGCTGGTTTGAGTCCTGGCTGCTCCATTTCCAATTCAGCTCTCTGCTATGGCCTGGGAGAGCAGTGGAAGATGGCTCAAGTCCTGGGGCCCCTGCAGCTCCAGGCTTTGGATTGGCACAGCTCCAGCCATTGAGGTCAACTGCGGAGTGGACCAGTGGATGGAAGATTTCTCTCTCTCTCTGCCTCTCCTTTTCTGTGTAACTCTGACTTTCCAATAAATATTTTAAAAAAAGAATTTGCATTGTCTTCCAATTTATCAATGTAATTTAATGTAACAGTTCACTATCCTTTAATCATTAAAACTTAACTGGGTAAGATTAAAAAAAACTGACCTCTGTTGAACTCCATGTTATTTCAAATACACTCTACACATTGATATAAGGTAAAAACAAAGATGAACTTTAGGTTTTTCTTCATAAACTGACCTAGAAAAACTTCCAATAGAGACAGAGTCAAAGTATTTTCAACACTGAAATATTTAAGGTCTGGAAAACAGTTCACATTCACAGACTGATAATCTAATGAGCAAAGCTTAAAAAAAAAAGGGGGGGGGGAATCTCAAAGAATGAATATATCCCCATTAACATAACACACAACCTACCAAGATTAAATCAAGACACAGAAACTGTAAGCGGACATGTAACAGATAAGGAGGTTGAAAAAGTAGTTAAAACTCTTCCATCAAAGAAAAATTCAGGACCTGATGGCTTTAAAGTTGAATTCTACAAAACTCCAATACCCTTCAAACCACAAAATATTGAAAATGATGGAACTCTGTTAATGAGGCCAGCATTACTCTGATATCAAATCCAAAGGTAAAATAAAATGACATAGCTGCTGAATACAGATGAAAAAATTCTTAACAAAATATTAGCAAACAAAATACAACACCACAGCAAAAAGATCATACATTATAGTCACACAGGATTTCTCAGAGACACAGTCATGTAACATTTCCAAATCATTAAATGCCCTAAATCATGTTAACACAAAAAACAAAAACCATTTGATCACCTGAACAGATGCAAAGAAACTATCTGATAAGATCGAACATCTCTTCATGATAAACAATCCTCAAAAAATTAGGTACAGAAGGAATTTACTTCAAAACGATAAAGGCAATCAATAAATGACAAACCAACAGCCAGTATCATACTGAATAGGAAAAGCTGAAAGCATTTTCCCCCTGAAATCTGGAACAAGATAAGGATATCCACTTTCACCAGCCTTATTCAATGTAGTATTGGGAATACTAACATCAAGAATTAGGCAAGGGAAAGAAATAAAGGGCATCAAAATTAGAAAAGAGACAATCAAAATATCCATTTTTCTTTTAAACATGGGATAACTTAAAAGACTCCACCAAAAAGCTGCTAGAAGAGATAAACTAATTCATTTAAGTCACAGGATACAAAATAAACATAAAAAACAGTAGCATTTTTACACACCATTTGCTAAAAAGAGAAGTCAAAAAAGAAATCACATTCACAATAACTAAAAAAAATTTAAACATAAAGAATAAACTTAACCAAAGAAGTAAAATCTCTACAATTAAAATTACAAAACATTGATAAAAGAAATCAACAAGGACACAGAGAAAATGGAAAGATATTCTCTACTCATGGATTGAAAGAATTTCATTAAAATGTACATCTTACTAAAAATTCCAGGCAATTCCTATAAAAATACCATTGATATTCTTTATAGAACTATAAAATAACAATGCCAAAATTGATATGGAACCATGAAAGACTCAGAATAGCAAGAGCAATCCTACTTACACACACACAAAAATCAAGCTGAAGGCATCAAATTATCTGATTTCTAAGGACACTATAAAATTGCAATAACACAGAGAGATCAATGGAATACACCGCTCTAAAGCTAACACATGTAAATAGAACCAAATGCTTTTTGACAAGAGTGCCAAGAACATACAATGGAAAAAAAGGCAGTTTTTTCAATAAATGTTGGCAACACTGGAAATACATATGTTGAAGAATCAAACTGGAACCCTACCTCTCAACACATACATAACTCAAGATGGTCAAAAACCTAATTATAAGACCTGAAACTACAAAAATATTAGAAGAAAACATAGGGGAAACAGTTCAAGACACTGGTGTAACTAATGATTTCTTGAGTAAGATACCAAAAGTGCAGGCAACAAAGCAAACCTAGATAAATAGGATTATATTAAATTCAGAAGCTTCTAAACATGGAAAAAATCAATAGTGAACAGGTATCCGGGAGAACATATTTTTGTGCTACTTATCTGACAAAAGGTTAATGTCCAGAATATACCAGGAACTCACAAACTGTACAACAAAACCACCAATCCAGCCAAGAAATGAGAAAAGGACCTGAACAGTTGCCGAAAGAAATATAAATAGCCAACAAATAGAAGAAATAGGCTCAATATCACTTGTCATCAGGGAAATGCAAATCTAAATCATGATGAGGTACCATCTCACCCCTGCTGGTGAGGATGTGGAGAAAGAAGAATTCTTAAAAAAATTTTATTATTTATTTGAAAATCAGAAAGATAGAGACAGATATCTTGCATCAGCTAGTTCACTCCCCAGATGGCCACAATGGCCAGGGCAGTGCTACACCAAAGCAGGAGCTTCATAAGGGTTTCCCATGTGGGTGATAGGGGCTCAAACACTGAGGACATTTTCTGCTACTTTTTCCCAGGCCTTTAGCCTGGAGCAGGATCAGAAGTGGAGCAGCTGGGACATGAGGCAATGACCATGTGGGATGCTGGCATTGCAGGTGGCAGCTTTACCCATTAAATCACGATGCCAGCCTGAAACAGGAACTCTCATTCACTGTTAGTGGGAATGTAAATTGGTTCAGTCATCTATTAACGGTATTTCTTTAGGGGCCGGTGCCATGGTATAGCAGGTTAAGCTGCCGCCTGCATCCCATATGGGCACCAGATCAATTCCTGGATGCTCCACTTCCAATCCTGCTCCCTGCTGATGGCCAGGGAAAGCAGTGAATATGGCCCAAGTGTTTGGGCCCTTGCACCCACATTGGAGACCCAGATTAAGCTCCTGGCTCCAGGCTTCGATCTGGCCCAGCTTCAGCTGATGTGGCCATTTGGGGAGTCAACCAGCAGATGGAAAATCTCTAACTCTGCTTTTCAGATAAAATAAATAACCTTAAAACTGTCATATGATCTAGCATTACAGGGTATATATCCAAAAGATATAAATCAGTGCATCAAAGAAATGCCTAATTCATCATTCATTCATCACAAGTCAATTTATGGAATTAACCAAGGTGTCTGTCATCACATGAATGGATAAAAAAAAGTAGTACATATAATGGAATATAATTTAGCCATAAAAATAGTGAAATTGTGATTTTTTTGTAAGTAGATGGATGAACAGGAGGGCATCATGTGAGTAAAATTAGCCAGACATAAAAGACATACATATTCTCCCTTATACTTAAAAGTTAAAACTGAGTAACAAAAAACTCAATTCAACCTGAACAGAGAATGTTGGCTAGGAAGGTTAAGAAGGATAGATGCAGTTTAGATAAAAACAAAACAGGGGAAGCTGTATGTGTGGGCTCATTAATTATGACAAACATGCTAATATGGAAAGTAAATAATAAGGGAAGTTTGGTTAGGGATATTTCAGAACCATTTACATTATTACTTCACAATTTTTATAAATTTAAAATTATTCTGAAATAAAACATTTTTCAAAAAGTGAAGAATGCATAATTCTGTCTTACCTGCTTGCACTTCTAGAACGTCTGGCTGTACTGTAACTTTTTGGTGGTGTTTTGGAACGTTTTTTTTCTTTGTCTTCTTTCTTTTTGTCTCTAATAAATCAACAAGCACAATTCAAGAAGGCATTACAAAGTTCTGTTAACTGCAATTTAAATAGTGCTACAAATCAAAACAAAAGCAAAATTATGTCTAATAACACCTGTAAAAGCATGATTTACAATTCTGATAGAAAGTATTTTTAGAGATACTAGTTCATGTGGCAAAGGTGGGGTTCAAAAAGTTATGAAAAAATTGAATTAAAGTTTTAGTTATTTTGGTGTAAAACTGTGAATCCATGCAGACAGATCTTCTAAGAGTTCATGGAAAATGTGCATTATGAAACAACTATGGAATTCAGCTTTTTGTTTATTTTAGAGGCAGAGAGAGAGAGAGAGAGAGAGCGAGCGAGCTTTAATCTGCTGGCTCACTTAACAAATGCTTGCATGTATTCAGGGCTGGGCCTGGAGCCAGAAAGTGAATCCAGAGTTACCTGAGCCATCACAGCTACCTCCCAGGGTATGCATTATCAGGAAATTGTAATCAGGAATGGAGCCAGGATATAAATCCAAGCACTCCAACACAGGGTATGTTTATCACAAGAAATGTATTCACTGCTAGGGCATCCATCCTTTAATTTTTTGCACCAAACAATCCTGTATTTCCTTTTGGCACTGGTTCAACCCGGCTGCTTCGCTTCTGATCCAGCTCTCTGCTGTGGCCTGGGAAAGCAGTAGAAGATGACCCAAGTCCTTGGGCCCCTGCACACACGTGGGAGACATGGAGGAGGCTCCTGGCTCCATATCGACACAGCTCTGGCCCCTGTGGCAAACTGAGGAGTGAACCAGTGAATGGAAGACCTCTCCCTCTCTTTGCCTCTCCTCTTTCTGTGTAACTCTTTCAAAGAAATAAATAAATATTTTTTTTTAATTGACAGGCAGGCAGAGTGGACAGTGAGAGAGAGAGACAGAGAGAAAGGTCTTCCTTTTTCTGTTGGTTCACCCCGCAATGGCCGCTGTGGCCGGTGCACCGCACTGATCTGAAGATAGGAGCCAGGTGCTTCTCCTGGTCTCCCATGTGGGTGCAGGGCCCAAGGACTTGGGCCATCCTCCACTGCACTCCCAGGCCACAGCAGAGAGCTGGCCTGGAAGAGGGGCAACCGGGACACAACCTGGCGCCCTGACCGGGACTAGAACCCGGTGTGCTGGTGCCACAGGTGGAGGATTAGCCTATTAAGTCGCAGTGCCTGCCTATAAATAAATCTTAAAAAAATAAAATAAATAAAATTCCGTTTTCCTGGTGTTTTACTCAAGACATCTTTCCAATGTACAAATATACTGTATGTCTTGAGAAAGAAACTAGGATTTTGCCTAATTTCTTTGTGTTTTGATGCTAAACATCAACAGTTTTAATAATTGTCTTGAGGCTCTTTAACAGTCTCTTATTTTCTCAGATGACTTTACCATTTTCTCTAACCACCTCCACTATCAGTCCAAAACCCATAATGTATTACCAAAATCACTCACATCATCAATATTCTTGTAAAACATACAGCCCAAGTTAACTTCTGTCACAGATGAAGCCATTCTATCTTTGTGTTAGTTTTTTAAAGATCAATTTATTGGGGGCTGGCGCTGTGGCACAGTGGGTTAACGCCCTCGCCTAAAGTGGCGGCATCCCTCATGGGTGCCAATTCGAGTCCTGACTGCTCCTCTTTTGATGCAGCTCTCTGCTGTGGCCTGGGATAGCAGCAGAAGATGGCCCAAGTCCTTGGGCCCCTGCACGCACGTGGGAGACCCGGAGGAAGTTCCTGGCTCCTGGCTTCAGATCGGCACAGCTCTGGTGGTTGCGCCCATCTGGGGAGTGAACCTGCGGATGGAAGACACCTCTCTGTTTCTACCTCTCTCTGTAACTGTCTTTCAAATAAATAAAAATAAATCTTAAAAAACAAAACAAAACAAAACAAAACAGACCCTTGGCCGCTGTCCTAGCCCAATAGGCTAATCCTCCGCCTGCGGCGCCGGCACGCCAGGTTATAGTCCCGGTGGGAGCGCCAGATTCTGTCCCAGTTGCCCCTCTTTCAGGCCAGCTCTCTGCTGTGGCCAGGGAGGGCAGTGGAGGATGGCCCAAGTCCTTGGGCCCTGCACCTGCATGGCAGACCAGGAGAAGCTCCTGGCTCCTGGCTTCGGAGCAGCGCGGTGCGCAGGCGGCTGCGCGCCGCTGGAGCGTCCACTGGGGGGTGACCCATTGGGAAAAAAAAAAAAAAAAGAACTGCTCAAAAGAAATAAACAGGTATTTCATAAAACAAGAAACATAATCACCCCCCAAAAAAGATAAATTTATTTATTTGAAAGGCAAAATGAGAAAGAAAAATCTCTTCCATCATCTAGTTCACTCCCCAAATGCCTTCAACAGATAGGGCTGAAACAGGTTGAGGCCAGAGCTGGGAATTTCATACAGGTTTCCCACGTGGATCACAGGAACCCAAATACTTGGCCATAATCTGCTGCCTTCCCAGTGCACTGGCACGATGCTGGAGTGGAAGCAGAGTATCTGGGACTCAAATTGGCACATGATATTATTCCTTCTGTTACTTCACGCCATTCTTCCCACCCTATGTTCTCTGTTTCATTGCTTCCTCTACTGGCCATCCTGTTCAATGATCATTTCTGTTTTTCCAAGTACTTATCGCCTAATTTCAAGATACTCTGTTTATTCCCATTCCAGTTTCCTCCAGGATCACGTGCAAACACAGTCTGAAAACAACCCTTTCTATGATCTGTCTCCTTACACTGAATTTATTTACTGGTTCTCCTATATAGAAATATTCACCATTTCAAAAACTCATGCTAACATTGCAAACACCATTCTCTACCTGAAACTATGCACCCCACAGAATCTTTTTAAATGGATGCAAACTGAATACTCAGGAGTCACTTCTCAATTAAGCCCCTTCCAACAACATTAGCCAAGTGGCAACCATCACCTAACAGTGGTTCCTTTTTAATTTTATCACACTCTCCAAATAAACAATAAACAGAATATTCTTAAGGGAAAGAATGTTGAATTCTTTTTTTATGATAATCATTTCTTTAAGCAACTTCGTTTTGATTAGCCTAATGAGATTGACTAATATACAACGAAAAGCCTATTATAGGCTGAACATTCAGTAGTCATACTAATTAAAAACAACTGACTTTGTATAAAAGACTGGTTACTGGAAGTATGTTTTAAGTAAAAATCAAACATTAATGTGGGGGACCTGCTTTAATGAATCCTCATTTTAACCTTCTACTGGTCCCAAATTATGGGATAAGAGATATTCTAGTATGGTTCAGTTTCTGGCAAACAAAGATACTTAATAAATGCTTTGAACTCATTGATTACTGGGATATACAAGGACAAATATATTACATATGGTCATATAGAGTTTTTCTTCTGAGTATAATACAAGAAATGCATGGCAGCAATAAATCCTTTGCAGTAGTTGAATGGAATGGAAGAAATTCTTGTCTAGTTTTAACTTCCCAAAATTCCTTGCCTCTTTTGTAATTTAAGTAGCACAGTATTTGGGTTCTTGGCAATTCTAAAAGTTCTCTTCTTATCCAATGTCAAGAGTCTGTTATACCTGGTTTTTGATGTGCTCCTTGACCTTCTACCTCTCTCTCTGGAATGAGATCTTCTCCGTCTTGGACTTTTGGATCGTCGTCTACTCCTTGACTTAGAATGTGATCGCCTCCTTGATCTGCTTCTTGATCGCCTAAATGTGTAAAAGGAAGCCAACAGATATATTAAGTTATAAACATTTCACTTAGTCCCAGACATATGAATTAACTGCCAATTAAGTGGGAATATTCCCTTCCATATAAAAAACATGTTGGTGCTGGCATCCTATATGAACACTGGTTCGTGACCTGTATACTCTGCTTCCAATCCAGCTCCCTGCTGATGGCCTGGGAGAGCAGTGGACAATGGCTCAAGTGCTTGGATCCCTGCATACACATGGGAGACGCAGAAGAACCTTCTGGCTCTGGACTGGTTCAGCTCCAGCTGTTGCAGCCATTTAGGGATAGAAGCAGATGGAAGACCTGTCTCTCCCTCTGTCTGTAAATCTGCTTCTCAAATAAATAAATCTTAAACAACAACAACAACAACAACAAAAAACCTTGCAATCTCAATACTTTTTTTTTTAGAGATTTATTTATTTCAAAGTCAGAGTTAGAAACAGAGAGAGATTTTCCATCTGATGGTTCACTCTCCAGATGGTTGCAACAGCCAGGGCTGCACCAGGCCAAAACCAGGAGCCTGACCTGCTTCTGGGTCTCCTACGTGGATGGCAGGGGCCCAAGTACTTGGGTCATCCTCTGCTGCTTTTCCATTATCAGGAAGCTGGATGAGAAGTGCAGCAGCCAGGACACGATGTCTATGTGGGATGCTGGACTAGAAGGTGGTGGCTTTACCTGCTACACCACAATGCTAGCAGCAACAATACCTTTAAATACTTAGAATTTCTCCTCTTTTTTACTGTATTGGTCAACTTGTCAGACCAGTCCTCTCATACCCAATGAACCAAGAACTCCAAAGTTAAAACTACTACTATATGACACACACACACACACACAAAAGAAAGATATTGCACCATTTTCTATAACCGTACAATACTGAAAAACATCTTTTATTTATTATTACTGCAAGTTAAACCTTATTATTATTATTTTTTTTTGACAGGCAGAGTGGATAGTGAGAGATACAGAGAGAAAGGTCTTCCTTTGCCGTTGGTTCATCCTCCAATGGCCGCCGTGGCTGGCGCGCTGCAGCCGGCGCACCACGCTGATCCGAAGCTAGGAGCCAGGTGCTTCTCCTGGTCTCCCATGCGGGTGCAGGGCCCAAGCACTTGGGCCATCCTCCACTACCCTCCTGGGCCACAGCAGAGAGCTGGCCTGGAAGAGGGGCAACCGGGACAGATTCCGGTGCCCTGACCGGGACTAGAACCCGGTGTGCCGGCGCCGGCTCAAGTTAAACCTTATTTATCAAGTATCAAATGCTTACGCTTACTATGTGCTTGACAAATAGGCAATCATGAAGTCTAAAAAAAGTAAGTCCCATTATTATTCCTGTTTTATAGATGCAAACTACTTAGTATGTTATCATTTACTATTTCTAACTGTTGTTCTTTGAAATTCCACTTTTTATATCCATAGTCTAAAAAACTCTAATCATGTACAAATTGCCTCATTTACTCTCATTTTCTCATCAACATTACAGTCTCTATACCATCCTCTTTTCCATTACATCAAAGAAAGGAAATGTTTTTTTTAATCATCCTCATCCCCGGGGAACCATCCAATAAACACTTCTTGGTTTTCCAAGAACTTCAGTAGCACATTTAACCTATAGATGCTGTCACTGTTCTTCCCTACCCCCCACCTCCACCCCCTTTTAAAAGGTTTTATTTATTTGAAAGTCAAGAGTTACAGAGAGATTTTCCATCTACTGGTTCACTCCCCAAATGGCCTAAGAGCTGGGGCTGGGCAAGGCAAAAGTCACGAGCCAGAAACTTCTCTCTGGTCTCCTATGAAGGTACAGGGGCCAAAGCACTTGAAGGGAGCTAAATCAGAACTGGAGCAACTGAGATTCCAACCGGCACCCATATGTGGTGCCAGTGCCACAACACCGGCCCTCCTCCTTCAAGTCTTTGTTATTCTCAATCTTTTGCTTAGTCTTGATATCTTAATTTTTAGTGACCATTCAAGTCCTTTCTGTGGAATATTTCAAATATACCTAAACTTTCTACATGTTTTCATTTTCAGGGTACTAGAGTCGAGAAGTTCTAGAAATGGAATTGTGTTCAACTTTTATTTATAAACCAAGTTACTTGGAGTATTATCTAATCTCTCTGATCCCGTTACTTCATTTATCTCTATTACATAAAAATAGCACCTTTCACTTGTACAGAGTACAACTCAGTGCCTTCATGCAGAAATGTATGACATTCAACACTCTCTTCCTCTTACTAATGCAGTAAAAGGCTTCAATTGCTGTAACTCTCTAAAACAACTGGCTCAAAGCCCATTGTACTGAACTAAATAAACTTTTTTTATCATCTCTTATTTTAGGGTATATTTGGAACTACTTATGACAAATTGTTAAGAAGAACCAAGATAGTAAAAGAAGTTATGAGAAAGCAGACAACTGATAGAAATATGTTTCAGATGAGATCAGCTAGGAGATGAAGAATACCCAAAAAAAAAAAAAAAAAAGTTTAAGAGTCAAATGGTGGGGGCTGCTGGCCTGCAGTGCCGGCATCCCTTCTGGGCGCTGGTTCGAGTCCCAACTACTCTCCTCTTCCAATCCAGCTCTCTGCTATGGCCTGGGAAAGCAGAAGATGGCCCAAGTCCTTGGGCCCCTGTACCCGTGTGGAAGACCCAGAAGAAGCTCCTGGATCCTGGCTTCAGATCAGCATAGCTCTGGCGTTGTGGCCATCTAGGGAGTGAATCAGCAGATGGAAGACCTCTCTCTCCTCCTCTCCCTCCATCCCTCTCCCTCTAATTCTGCCTTTCAAATAAATAAATCTTAAAAAGAAAAGTCAAATGGTGGAAATATGGAAAATGAATCTAAAACTAGTTGAAGTAACTGAGGTCAGCTGGAGTATTCTAGTTCTGAATGCCACTCTACAACTATAATGCAATTACAAGCAACCTGGATTGAGTTTAGAAATCAAGTAAAACAAGAAACCACTGCAACAGTTGGTGATGAATAACAGAGTAACGGTTATCAAATTGTGGCTAAGGAACTCTGACTACTCCAAGATTTTATGGGGTCTGTAAAGTCAAAATTATTTTAAAAATAGTGTATTATATGCTTTTGTCAGTGTGTTGACATCATTTTCACTAGTGATGCAAAAGAATGGTAGTTAAAAATGATGGCATCACCTCATCACAAATTAAGACTGTGGCAACAAAACTGTGCTAGTAGTCATCTGTGTTTCTGAATGCATTTGAGCTAGGAAAAAATCACTTTCACTAAAGGAGTGTTATGTATAAGATTTTGTCTATTTATTTAAAAGTCACAGTTGACAGAGAGAGAGAGAACTTCCATCTGCTTGTTTACTTCCCAGATGTCCACAATGGCCAGGGCTGGGCCAGGTGCTTCATGGAGGTCTTCCACATGGGTGGCAGGGCCCAAATACCATTTTTTTTTTCTCTAAGGTTTACTTATTTATTTGAGCGGCAAGGAAGAGACAGAAAGAGGTCTTCCACCTGCTGGTTCACTCCCCAAATGGCTTCAATGGCTGGAGGTGGGCCTATCCAAAGCCAGGAGCCAGGAGCTTTTTCTGGGTCTCCCATGTGGGTACAGGGGCCTAAACACTGGGCCATCTTCCACTGCTTTCCCAGGCGCATTAGCAGGGAGCTGGACTGGAAGTGGAGCAGCTGGGACACAAACTGGTGCTCATATGGGATGCTGGCATTCCTGCTATGCCACATCACCAGACCCTAAAGGTGGCTTTGATGAGGCAGTTAATTTCATTAAATCTAGTTCTTTGCATACTATTAAAGTAGTAGCAACATTAATGTTAGCCTTTTGAGTAACATCTCCAATAAAATGGAAATTATAGATCACTTTAGATGGCTCTATCAAGAAAGATATTTGTGTGATTAAGTTGTGAGTTGAATTAGTTGCTTTTTCATGAATACCACTTTCAAGAAACAACAAACTGGTTACTTAAACTTGGCTACTTAGCAGACATTTTCCTGAAAAATGAATGAGGTAAATTATATCAAGGAAAACAACCAAATTTGCTGCCAGTAATAAAAACTTGTGCTTTTATGACAAATTTATATTTAAAGTTTCCCAACACTTCAGTTTTTCTGAGATATGCAGTGCTATTATCAAGTACCATATTTTTTGCTACTGAGGAACAGATAAATGTAAGTATTTGGCAACTTTTATAATGCAATGAATCTCTTGTTTTCCAAATGACCAATGCTTGCTTTCAGAAATCCTGCCTGGGGAAAAAATACATTAAAATTTTTGCTTCAAAGCCCTATTATTTCAAATGAGTTCTAATTTCTATATGATCAACACGGACCGATGTGACTCACTGCTTGACACAGTTCTCATATATCTTTTTACAACTCTAAAGAGCCTGTTGGCCAGAGAACCTTATTCACAAAGGGATGCCAATCTACTTCTACTCCAGATAAGTAAAAGAATGATACTGTAAGCTTGTCTGGTAATACTAAGTATAATCTTAAGAATTATTTGCAAATATTCTAAATTTGAACAAATCTCAATTTAACAGACTTAGATTGTCTAGAATTCAAGTCAAAATTCTTTTCATAGCACCAACTCATCATACCACCTATTTTTTTGGATTTAATTTATTTATTTAGTCTGCATCTTTTCCCCTTTTATGCCAACATAAATTCACACTGTTAACATCAACTGTTACTGAAGCATACTTTAACCAGGAAGTAGTGGCTTTACAGCAATTAAAGAAGGTGCATACAGAAATTATCTTTGTCTAAATTACAAGTGATTGTAAGAAACAATCTAACCTGTGCCTAGAAGATGAAGGAGTCCTCCTCCTCCTGGAACGTGATCTTGATCTTGAATGCCTTCTTTTTTCTTCTTTCTTATCTACATTTGAAAGAAAAGGAATCTGCACTTAAAAATCATCAAATAGGAACATTATTCCCTTCAGGAGTTATTCTAACAATTTCTTTACTATTTTAATTTATTTTCTAGATATGTCCTTGTATCTTAAAGTGATCACTTATAATCACAATGTTGAAGTCTACTGAAGTTATTAGGTTCTTTTGAGTTATCTCACTTTCCAGGTGTAGAAGCCTATGAAGTGTTTCTCGTAAAACAAGCTATGAAAAGGGTGTTGTTCTTATTCTTTTGCTTTTTTATTTACTTGTTAGATTTTTAAATGAGTCTCCTTTCCTTTCTTAGATTCTTCACAAATATAGTTATAATTCAGCCAAGTTAAAGCTTAATTTTCATGTATTTATAAAAAAAAATCTTACTAACCAGGACTTAAATATATTTAATAAAAACAATTATTGTAAATAAATAAAAATATTAGGCCGGCGCCGCGGCTCACTAGGCTAATCCTCCGCCTAGCGGCGCCGGCACACCGGGTTCTAGTCCCGGTCGGGGTGCTGGATTCTGTCCCGGTTGCCCCTCTTGCAGGCCAGCTCTCTGCTGTGGCCAGGGAGTGCAGTGGAGGATGGCCCAGGTGCTTGGGCCCTGCACCCCATGGGAGACCAGGAAAAGCACCTGGCTCCTGCCATCGGATCAGCGCGGTGCGCTGGCCGCGGTGCGCTGGCCGCAGTGCGCCGGCCGCGGCAGCCATTGGAGGGTGAACCAACGGCAAAAAGGAAGACCTTTCTCTCTGTCTCTCTCTCTCACTGTCCACTCTGCCTGTCAAAAAAAAAAAAAAAAAAAAAAAAAAAAAAAAAATTAACATACGGCAGTTCACACTCTAGTAACATGTTCCTTACCATTTATGCACCACAGGTTTGGCGTGTAGAGAACTTTCTCCACCAAATAACTTTATATTCCTTTGTTAACAAGCATGGTATGTATATTTAGGTCAAAGTGGATAACAGATTTCCTATTTGGCCCCCAAATCCAGAAAATCACAAATGATTTACTTTAATTTCACTGTACTACTGAATTAGATCTCAGCAACCCAGCTCTCTTCCTGAAACCTATTTAATCACTTGCCATCAATGTTCCATTGTGTACATGCAGGAAAAACTGATCTACAGTTGTTTTATTACCTAGATTTTAAATAACAAAAAAGTTCCTTTAACTTAGCACCTTAAGAAAATACAAAGCCATTTCATTTTTCATATATGAGCTACCATTCATGATCAATAAATATATAGTCTCAGGAAAAAACCTCAAACAAGCCCATAAATTTTCAATGAAAATAGAAGCAGTTAAGAGTATGGTGTGTAAGCTAGCTTTGGAATTGCACAGAATCAACTGTGTCTCATAAGCTTCCAACTTGGGCCTGTGGTGTGGTGTGTAAAGCCACTATGTACAATGCTGGAATCCTATACAGGCACTGGTTCAAGACCTGGTTGCTCCACTTCTAATCCAGCTCCCTGTTACAGCCTAGGAAAGCAGTAGAAGATGGTCCAACTATTTGGGCCACTGCCACCCATGTGGGAAACCTGAAAGAAGCTCCTGGTTTCAGCCTGTACCAGTGCTGGCCAGAGTGAATCAACAGATGAAGATCTCTATCTCTTCCTCTCTATGTAACTCTTCCTAAACAAAGAAAGCTTTAAAATAAATAAATAAATAAAGCTCCTATTTTCCATTTGACTACGGCCAATTATCTGACATTTTACTAATTAAATTATATAATACATGTAAAGTATTTGGTAACAGTTTATACAGTATTAGTCTTTAAAAATAAAATCATTTTCCTAATACTAAGAACATACCCATGATACTTTGAAGTAAACAGTAAAACCTGAATCAATGTGGAAGAACAAATCTAGGATCATGGACAAAAATACACAGCTGGACAATGGGAATACCATTTACTTTCAACTCAAAAAGGCAACCTGCAAAGAATGTTTAGTTTTCTTTAAATAAATGAGACTGGCATTTTTACCAGGTTCTTTCAATCAAAGTCTTAAAAACTAGCCTATCTCAACCGAGACATTTGACTAAAAACACCCAAATCTTACACCAAATATTACATAACACTGACATTTTGTACTATTTCAATCACTGCTGTGGTGGTTGCCCTGGACAACCAGCAACATTTCAGGTCCTCTCCTAAGATGTAGTTATTACTAGTGTAATAATCAGAAGTATCTCCAATTATTTACACATGTCTAGGTGGTATGTCACTAAATAATCCTTTTAAATATTTATTTGTTTCAAAGGCAGAGAGGCAGAGAGAGACAGAGTGCTTCTCTATCCAATGGTTCATTCTCCAAATGGCTGCAAAAGAGAGGAACAAGGAACATCATCAGGGTATTTCACATGGGTGGCAGGGACCTAGTTATTTGGGTCTTCTTCTGTTGCCTTCTCAGGCACATCAGCAGGAAGCTGGATGGGAACACAGCAGCCAGGACTAAAGCGGCACTCTGATAAGGGATGTTGGCATCATAAGCAGAAGCATAACCTGCTGTAACACAACAATGTCTCACACATAATCTTTTCAGAATTTGGGAAATTAGGAAAAAAACCATATTTAACATATTTCCAGATTTATATACTTACTTTGGACAATAATATAGAATTTAATGTTTCACAAAACTCTACAAACATATTCACCTGGTTCTATAGCAGCAGAAATCAGGGACTGTGCTTCTCGTACTCTTTTCATAGCCTCCTCTATTTCTTTACTAGAGGTATCAGATTTCAGACTTGGTGAAACAAGACCAGCAGCTACATGATTCAACCTGAAACAGACAAGAATTGAGATCTGAAATATTTTAAGTGTATCCCTGCATTTCAAATGCGTATGTTCCACATAACATTTTTGAAAAACACTCCTTATAAAAAAGGGTGAGGATTCCACAATTTAGGTTAACAATACATTGTAAAGTGTCATTTTGAATATTTACAGTGTGCACCTGCATTTTAATAACTCAGAGATATCTGGAATAAGGAAAATATTCATTTAATTTTGCCGACCATCTATTACCATAGACCTTTTAAGAAATGTTAGTACAAGGCAATGTATTGACACAAAAATTTAACTGACCTTTCCCTTACATGATTAACAACATCCTACTTTTGTTGGGTAGAAAGCACTACTTTTTATTTTGAAGTTGGGAAGAAACTGAGGCAGAGGAAAAATGTCCCAAAGTTACACATGAAATACTGACTGGAAACACTAAAATGTCCCTTAAGAGGTTTTACACATGAAAGAAAAATTATACATATTCAAATTGAGCATGCTAGTTATTTGTGGGAGAGTGGTAATGTAACTAAGAATGGATACACTGGGAGCTTCAACTGTGCTGGTGATATTTTGTCAGCTGGATGGTGGGATTATACTTGAATTTTAACTTTAAGGTAATTTTTAAGAAAACAGCCACTAACTAGTAAAGACATCTGTGGTCTGCAACTTATTGACAGTGACATTTACCAAATTTACCACTTAGCAAATTTTAACATACCAACAAATTACCAATTTAAAAAGTTCCATAAACTTGTTAAATGTCAAGCAGTTAACAATTTTAATTACAACATGAAGTGAGCTTACTAGCGTGTCAAAGTTATTGGCTAAAATTATTTACCTAACATGTTTTACTTCTTTGCTCTGGGACAGTTTTTCCCAAACCCTAGATAGTGAAATGCCAAATCACTAATGGAAACAGAGAAAAACCCTTACTTGGGATCAACAGTACTCATGAGCTTCAGCAACTGATCTGCGGCAAGAGACTGCAAAAACAAAAATATAAGAAAAATGAAAATACAAATAACAGTACATAACTGCTATTTTCTCAGTATGTTTATGTCTCAGTATGTCCTGGAACAATCTGCCAAACCTACAAAAAGCAACATGCTCTGGGCACAACACTAACCAACAGAAATATAAGGCAAGCTATATATCATAGAAAATCTTTTAGTAGCCAAAAGAAAATACCAAAAGAAAACAGGCAACCTTAATGGCCACAATACTGACAGAGGAGCTTTAGCAAGTTATCTAAGATAATGAGGCTGAATAGTCCAGATTTCACAGAATTATCTTTTGATAATTTAAGGCTCTGCCAGTAAAATAGTACTTTCAAGAAACACATAAAGCGAAATCCAAACTAAACTATTTAGCCAGTGTATCAGAAGATCTCCACAAAGTAAGGATTTCAGAAAAAAGTTTAGGCAATTATAATAAAAGAAAAAAAATTCCCATGATAGAAAAACAAATTATGAGCTCATGTTCCCATTCTTTCATGACTATTTACTCTTTTTTCCACAACACTGATGGTGTCCTGGCTTCCTGTGAACCTATTTTCCATTTTGAATTATATGAAAAAAAAAAAAAAAAAATTTTTATGGGTAACAGGCTAATAATTTAGTGAGCATTAAAATAACTTTTTAACACATTTGACAACAACAACAAATCATTTTTATAATATGGCAGTTAACTCCTGATCTTCAACTGCAAACTATAAATTAATGAAATGAATTTTCGGGGCTGGCACTGCGGCGCAGCGGGTTAATGCCCTGGCCTTAAGCGCCGGCATTCCAAATGGGCGCCGGTTCTAGTCCTGGCTGCTCCTCTTCCAATCCAGCTCTCTGCTATGGCCTGGGAGAGCAACAGAAGATGGTCCAAGGCCTTGGGCCCCTACACCCAAATGGGAGACCTGGAGGAGGCTCCTGGTTCCTGATCGGTGCAGCTCCGACCGTTGCGGCCATATGGGGAGTGTACCTCTCTCTCTCTCTGCCTCTCCTCTCTGTAACTCTTTAAAATAAATAAATAAATCTAAAAAAAAAATAAATAAAAAAGAAATTTTCTATACAAAGTGACTCCAAATCTGAAGGGTAATAGTAAGTTGTACCTGAGAGTTCAAGTTTGCTCCAGGAAGCCCTAGTGCAGCAAGGGCAGGATCAAGAGTAGGAGCTCCCAAAGCAGCCAAAGGAACAGCGCCAATCTGAAAAACCAAATTTCATTTATTTAAAACTTCATTTCTGTGCCTTATGCTTCAGGTGAACTTTTTTCCCCTAAAAACAGAGTCTGTAGGCTCAAACTACTCAATTGTACACAAATCCATACAACTATTACCACTGTAGCTGAAAAAGGAACCAAAGACAATACACAAACCAACAGGCAGGCTGAATAAAAAGTATTAACAAAAACAGGCCTGATGCTGACACTGTGGCAAAGGCTGCTGCTTGTGACACTGGAATCCCAGCAGTGCCAACCAATTCAATACCTACCTGGCTCTGCTTCTAATTCAGCTCCCTGCTAATATACCTGGGAAGGCAGGAAGGATAGTCCAACTACTTAGGCCCCTGCCACCCACAAGGGAGACACTTTGTCTTGGCACAGCCCAGGCCATTGCTGCCACATACGAGTGAAATGGCAGATGGAAGACATCTGTCTCTCTGTAACTCTGTCAAACCACCCTACTTTGCCAACTCCTCTTTGTCTGAAGCCTTCCCTCCCATCATCTTTTAAGGATAACTGATTTAAAGGCAGAGTAACAGAAAGGGAGGGAGACAGGTAAAAAGGCAGATGAATCTTATATTTGATGGTTCACTCCCCAAATTCCTGCAATAGCTGGGGCTGGGTCAAGCCAAAGACAGGAAATTGGTTTTCCCTACAAGTAGCAGGAACTCAACTACTTGGGCCATCACCTGCTATCTCCCAGATGTATTAGCAGGATGCTGGATCAGAAATAATGGAAGATCTGGACTTGAACCAGAAACTCCAATATAGGATGAGTGTGTAAAAGGTAGCATCTAATCTACTGTACCATAAGGCCAATCCCATAATTTTTTTTATTCATTACAGAACATTCCTCCTTTAAAATCATGACTTGGAGAAGAAAAAACAAAAAACTAATTCACAATGTTAATATATTCTTGTGTGTGCAAATTATAAATATTTCTTAACTCCAAATCCACATTCTTTGTCCTACTTTGTAATACTTGAGGCCTGGCCCTTATAAAACACTTTGCCTTGATAGCTTCCATGATCGTAATAAGCTTCATCTGTGGAGTGCTGGCAGGACACTGAATAAGGAAACAGATTCTTCTCCTGGTCTTTGCATCTGCTGACTTTTCCCGTAAAACCATAAGGGACACCTAGGGGCCCTCACCTCTCACTGGTTTCCCAGGCACATTAGCAGGGAGCTGGATCGGAAGTGAAGCAGCCAGTACTCAAACTGGCCCCAACATGGGATGCCAGCTCTGCAGGTAGAGGCCCCACATATTCAGTTTTTTCCTCCAAAAATTTTTTTTGAGAGACAGAGTGACAAACAGAGAGATACATCTGCTGGTTCACTTCTACAACAGACACAGCCTGGCCCGGCAGAAGTCAAGAACCTGGAATTCCACACAGGCCTCCCACGTGGGTGGCAGGGGCCCAAGCAATCGGGCCATCTTCCAGTGCCTTTCTCCCAGATGCATTAGCAGGGCACTGGGTCAGAAGTGGAGCAGCTGAGACTTGAATGTATGCTCTGATATAGAATGCCAGCATCCACTGCAATCAGTGGCTTAATAACATTGTACCACAATGACAGCCCTTGCATGCTTCGGGTAACATTTAGTAAATAAAAAGTACAAAACTTTCTCAAAGTAACTTAACTGAGTACAGGTAAACCACTGTGTTAATGCTACTTTGAATTTCTGGTTAATATACTTAATACATAATCTTATGAGTCAAAAGGATCTAGAAATTGCCAGGATTTCATAGGTAAAGAACTAGAAGTTGAGTTTGATAAACTCATATCCCAAAAGCTTGGAAACTCCTGATTTTCCCACAATTCTGCATGCTGCAGTTCACTTCATAGTTATCAAACCAATTACTAAAACAGGCAAAATGATAAGAGAAAAAAGAAAGTTTTTATAGATTTCTAGTTGAGGCTCATCATTAACTACTATCTACAAAACCACTGACCATTTACAATCCTGAAATTCAGAATGGTACTGAAACTGCCTTTTAGTTCTAAAATAATGTTTCTTAAAAAAATGTTTCTCACAGTGTTATCAGTGTTACACTCTTTTAGCTTGCTATATTTCACCTTCTCCATTTCAAACACCCCCATGAAGAATCCATGTTTATTTTCAAGCAAATCCTTAGGTAACAGAAGACCAATATGCTTTGAAAAAGAAATCCTTAATGCAAATCTTTAAGAGATGATCAGTACTATTTAGGATTATAATATAGTTTTTTACAAGACTATGCACACATGTGACATTATTCTATGTGCTAGACTTTCAACAGCATTTAAAAAATTCAAATGCTTTCAATTTTATTCACAATTCTGAGTTCCTTCCCACCCTTCAAAAATTCAATCAAATATTACCTGGGTAAGAGGGTTAGGGGTAGGCAGGAGTCCACCACCAGGCAGAAGACCTGCCACTGCATTAGCTGGTGCCAACAGAGACAAAGCCTTAGTCTCATCAGGAATAACTCCTGCAGAGAAATATCTTAGCATTAGAACACATTCTTTTCTAAGACAGAAAACACACAAAAACACCCAGAAAATGTCTCCCTGAAACACCACCTGAGTTTGTTGAAAGTACTTATGTTCGCTAAAATATAAAGCTTGATTTCTATGATTATTTATCATTAATTTTATGTCAGAATGAAACTTCAATGTGTGAAAATTTGTTTCCTTTTTCTCTACAAATGGTTAAGTTTCTAGAGTAAAAAAAAAATAGCACAATACACACTACTTTTTTGTTAACACTGCCAAGATTTCATCACCTGTACTCGATTTTTAAGTCATGAACCAAACGTAAGCAAGCACAGTCGGTTCTCCAGGGGTGTGCTCTCAACTTTCAAAAGCTGTTTTATGAACAACGACTCGTGTCGGCTGCTTCACTATAAAGCACACAGAAAAATCAAGATACACAAGACAAAAAAAGTTTGATTTAGGGGTTAATAATATGGTACAGTTACTATGATTTTCTTTTACACCTACCACACAAATTTTGTAAAAATTAAGAGAAGAAAAGTATGTAAAGGAAATATTCTGTTGGAATCAAGAGTAGGGCTTTTGCTGGCTCATGAAAATGAGTATGAATGTTTCTGAAGGTCTCTGAATACACACAGGATGTGTGTGTGTGAGAGAGAGAAAGAGAGAATAGGTAAAACAACATGGCACATTCCTTACCTGTACAGTAAAATGCTTTATGGTCCAACATGTGCCATGCTAACCGTACCAAAAGTGCTGCTATATAATGTCAGTTCAAAAGCTAACTTGGCCAAACTCCTTAAGAAAAAATTGACATGTATGTCTGTTTTTAAAGCCTAATCTGTGTATTCAGATAAAATCTAAGGGTCCTAAGACAAATATTTATGTAGACAATTTAAATTCTATCCAACAGCAAAAGCCCTATACAGATGGATTAATCTGTTAATGTGCCCAAGCCCCCAAAATGAGAGTTCAATAATACAATTAAACTACATATTTGCAAATACCAGTAGTATTTCTGTCATACATATTAAGAAACTGCATCTCATCATAAAACATACAATATGTACAGGGCACTTAAGAGAAACTGGATAAGCTGCAGAAGAAAACTGTTGGGTGGTATTTTCAGCAGGGCCTGGTATATAGTTCAGGCTGAACCAGGGAAAAGAACTGTAAAACACAACAACAAAAAAGAAAAACCACTGTTAAATAAAGGTAATGGTTCCTTCCACCTAAACTGAGAAGTGCCGATAATATAAACAAATGTATACTACACAGCACTGTTATCTTGCTTGTGTCAGAGCTGTCATCAATTTAGATACCAAGAGTCATGGAGGGGAGGGGAAAAGATCACTTAGATATAGGGCATTAATGCATCAATATTAACAAACCTATAAAGATTATGGGATAATTTTGCATGCAAAATTATGTCTCAAGAGGATATATTAAGTATCAACATCTTACTAAAATCAGTGCATTTGCAACATTTCTGGAAAACTAAAATCCTCTTGAATTTATTGTGAGACACCTGATAGAAGATCTGCATCCATTAAAAAAAAAGTCATGCATCTGATCCTCTGATTAAAAAAGGACTATTTAAAAAATAAAACTACAATTTAAAAATAGCAATGAGGCCCCTCACCAGTTAATTTTCATGCGTCAAGAGTATTTTTTTTACTGCTGCTTTGATAGAACCATGAAATACTGCATGAATGTGTAGAAATGAAAGAAAAAGAAACAGACAAAAGAAACAAACATTAACCAAGGAACCTAAATAACCCCCAAATCCATTACTATTAAGAGTTCCTTCCAAATCCGGCTCAGTTTTACTACTTAAAAACTATTCCTTACCGTACACTTTGTGTCTATTGCTCTAAAACACTGACCAAGAGCCAACCATTAAAGTGCAAGAGATACAACCGGAGTGAATGGCAACAAAGGGATCAATACATCAAGTTACTTACTGGAGGTAACATTAATACAGCATATCATACCAGAAAATTAAATACACCAAAATAGATTACTGAGCCAAACATTTCTATAATTCTCTACATATTTCTAAACACTTCCCTTTCAGAACTTATATATAAAAGAATTACTATGGTCTAAAAACATTAACAAAAGCTAGTTATATGATATACTGTATTATGTTCAGGGCTTGGGAATGATAATACTTAGCCAATAAAAATTTTTTAAACTTAAAGGCTAACTAAAATATTTTGCACATTACTCACATGATTTGACCTTTGTTCCAAGAACTATCATCTATATTTTCTCATTCTGAATTTTAAATCTGTAAGTTTTCTGTTAGTGGTTAAGTCTTATCCTACAATAGGCACACTGAGATAAACGAAACTAACTCAAGGTCTATCAATCAATCAATCAAAACCTTAAAACTGGGCTTAAACACTTCAATATCATGGACACAGATGCACTGTTATTATATAGCATGCCTTAACCCATCTATGAATGCAAGTTCATTTCTTTAGAAAACCAGAGGTAATTTCTATGTTTTCAGGACTAGACATTTCACATCTTTTGTAAGGTATGGTGTAAATGTTCACACTTGCATTCTAAGATACAAGACAGCGTCTAAAATCAACAATATAAAGGTTCTGCTTCCAATGACCAGTTTATTAAAGAAAGGGCATTGAAGTCTTGGTCAGGATAGTTAATAAACTGTTAGCTTAAAATCAAGAATTTTTATATTCCAGTGATTTCTTTGATCAAAATTTAGTTACCAAAAACCAAATCAAGTAACAGTACACTGGGAACAACCTAGTTATAAAATATGCCTTAGAAAATTTTACAAAATGGCATTAAAATAGTGTTGTCTTGTCACAGTGGCTTTTTTTAGATCCAAAAATCTGCTCATTTTTTTCTGTCAAATTACTTTAACAGCCTAAAATGTAAAAAGAGAGAAAATGTAGTTAACAAATGGTTACACCAGGATAACACTTGGGGCACTTGAGCGCTTGCTGGCCTTTAGTTAATGTCTAGAATCCCCTGTAGCTGCAGAGGACCCACTGTTTTTCAGTCATCTGGAAGGGTTTTGCATTTGCCTTCTCCACTACAAAAATCACACACACAAATAACAGAGAGAAGAATTTATTATTTAGAGATATTCTAGAAAATATAGCAAGAATGAACAAGATAATCTGGCATAAAATCAAAACACCCAGTGCCCATCTGGCACCTAAGCTATAGGAAATCTTGCACTTTCACAAAATAAATAAATAAATAAAATAAAATAAATAAATAAATAAATAAATACCAAACCAAAACAAAAAAATCAAAAACCATTGCAACCCTTGGTATACTGGAACTCAACGAGGGATTTTTCATTTCAAGTTATAAGTGCAAGAAGCACTAAGGAAATAAAAACTAAGCTAGTCATTTATTTTACACAGAAATAACATCATGCATTTATTTGAAGGTTTATGTGTAAATGTACACAGAGAGAATCATTCACCTTCAGAACTCTTCATAAAGCTTAACATCAAATTAACCCAATAGCTGTATCTCTGAGGGTTACAAATAGGGACATGGTTTTAATGAACTTAAAAAGATTTTAAAAGAAAGCAAAAAGTAAAATATCTTACAAAAACAGACCTGATTGCTTATTTTTAGAATTAAAAAAAGTTTCACCTAAAAATTATGACTGCAGTATAACAAGGGTTTCAAAACGTTAATAACTTCAATTTTATCATGCTCTAGTGCTCACTCTACAGCTACACTGAGGTAGATGGTCATCTTAGGATGCCCAGAGACATAGTTAAACAAAGCACAAACCTTCTGCATATGGTACGACTATCAAAGCTCTGTCAACGAATACAGTGTTTGTCAGATGCTGTGCCACAACTGCTGAGTCTGGATCATGGAATTTAACAAAGCACACACGAGATGAGACTGGCAGAGGTGAATCACTAAAAAATAAACAAATAACATAAAAGAAGAGAAGAAGAATATCAGCCAAACACAAATGTACAATTCAAAAATACCTGCACTCAAAAAGTAAAATATGCAGATAAAAATGATCACATAATTTATGCAGATCAAAGGAAAATACTTCCAGTAATGTATTATCTATTGAACTATTAGTAAATTGCAGTATAGATAAAAACTTAAGATCTCTATGTATGTAAATATATACTGTAGCAGGTTAAAAAGTTTGAAGGTACTCTCCCAGAGTAGGAGACCCCAAAATGTCAACATGATTTTTCTAATACCAGTACTATTTTGAAAAACAGGTATAAAGTTGGCTTACAAACTCTTCATTATGGCTAATTTCTCCAAGTGAAAACGATGAATCTCTATTTCAGGCATAATAGAATCACGGAAAAGTATACCTCTCTGATCATTGAGTTTTCCTGACCTGCACAATTAATTTTTTCCATGCCCTGCTCTCTTTCATCTACAGTAGTAAACAAGGCTGTAAACAAGGCACTGTAAACAAGGCTTTCTGGTTTAAAACATTTTCAAAGTAAAATTTTGAGCATACACAGGAACAGTACCCACCCAAGTACTATTACACATTTCAGTAAGTAAAATGAGCTACTTCATGGGGCCGACGTTGTGGCGCAGCAGGTGAAAGCCCTGGCCTGAGGTGCCGGCATCCCATATGGGCACAGGTTTGAGTCCTGGCTGCTCCACTTCCTATGCAACTCCCTGCTAATGTGCCTGGGAAAGCAGTGAAAGATGACCCAAATGCTTGGGCTCCTGCACCCACGTGGGAGACTCAGAAGAAGCTCCTGGCTTCAGATCAGCTCAGCTCTGGCCGTTGCAGCCATTTGGGAAGTGAATCAGTGGATAGAAGACCTCTCCCTTTGTCTTTCAAATAAATAAAATAAATCTTTAAAAATATTAATAAATACATAAAATGAGCTATTTCCTTCAGCAAATTATTTCTTTAGGGATGGGACAAACAAGTACTTAACTGCAAGTTATGTGTAATGGTAACATAGCTAACACAAAGAAAAGTTTTGCTTATTTGGAATACAAAGTAGTTTAAATTTCTGCCTTCCAACTCAGAAAGGGAAGGATTAAAGGTTATACCTTAAAATCATCTGTGAGGAAAAATATACCTAGACTCCAGACTTCGAATCACACTAAATAAGATCTTTATGAAGTACTGATCTCTTCTTCCTTTTTTAGTTTAACCCTGATAACTTTAATATGCATCTGCGACAAGAACTACGGCTTTATCATAATGACAATTATATCCTAAGATGTAATAATGAAAAGAGAAATTCTCTAATATACCATAATGCTTTTAAAACAAAGCTTCACTGTTAACTTTTCAAATGAATAACATTCTCAGGTGCAAGTAAAAATGTAATTACATCAGATGTGGTTACATTAGGTATGTGAGGAATGTTCATTAAGGAAAAGTTTCTCAGTTTGTGTATTAATCATAACTTGAAGTCTACACACTATATATATGTGACCCGAGGGCTCAAACCCATTAGCATTTCTGATGTTTCCCTACAGAGATCTCATAAGCACAGGCTAAACCAGATTCAAAGCAACACTGAGATATATACACAAGGAATTTAGAGACTTAATGTTAATTCTTGAAGGGATACAGTAGTTTTCTTCTAAACGTGAAGCACTACTGATCTTCCTCCAAATTTTAAATAATTTAAAAGGCATAAAGATATCTCCCATTTCCTGGTTCACTCTTGAAATGCCAGCAACAGCCAGGGCTGAAGACAGGAACTCAATATGGGTCTCTCCCATGGGAGGCAAAGACCTAATTGCTTCCGCCATAACCTGCTACCTCCCAGGGTATTCATTAGCAGAAAGCTGGAATGAGGAACAGTACCAGTGTATATAAACCAAAGCACTCAGATATGGAATGCAGGCATCCAGACCACCTGCCTCCCAAACAAAATTTAACAAAGTTGCCCAGAAGTAGAAAAAAGAATGTTTTACCAAAGACACCTCTGACATTCATGTTTTACCAGCTAAATCAGAAAGCTCTTTTAATACTACCATGTTATGTTTCCTAATACAGTGCCTTAGGAACTAGCAGTCACTTACTTTTTGAAGTCCTTTCTTTTATAATGCATAGTTATTCTAGAACAAAAAAAGCACTGTGCACACTCTATTATAAAATGATCCCTATTTTCTCTAATCACTCACATCAGAGGAATGATACAAATATTATTTTAGTTATAATAAAGTTTAGTTATAATAAAACCTACCATAATAAGCACTAGTAAGGTAAAGCTCAAATAGTAATGTGACTACCGTCAAAAAACCAGTATAATCTTTTCCACTTCAAACTATCTTTTTCCCCCCCAGGATTTATTTATTTGAAAGGCAGTTACAGAGAAGCACAAGCAGAGAGCTCTTCCATTCAGTTGTACACTCCCCAGATGGCCAAACGGCCAGAGCTGTGCCAATCAGAAGCCAGGAGCCAGGAACAACTTCTGGGTCTTCCATGTGGGTGCAGTGACCCAAGGACTTGGGCCATCATCTACTGCCTTCCTAGGCCATAGCAGAGAGCTGCATTGGAAGTGAAGCAGCCACTTTAAGCAGTGCCCATATGGGATGCTAAGCCACAGCACTGGCATTGCTATGTTACACCACAATAACACTCTGTTAAAATTTTTGAGACACCTTTCAATATTAAAAGACTGATGCCTCAAATCAACCTTCATATCCTAGAATTGTTCACAAGTACTACCTCTAAAGATCTAAGTATCTTTAGTTTCTAAAAACTATTATAGATAAAGAAGAACTGTTGAAACAGGACAAGATGAGTGGTATATGATGCTCCTCCACTGAAGAGTGGTAGTACTGTTTCCAATGGTCCTCTGGCTGGGAAGTAGGAACACAATCCAGGTTTCCCACGGGGGTGGCAGTTACTCAATCACTTAAGCCATCACCACCATCTCCTAGGTCTGTAGCAGTAGGAAGCTGCAGAGAGGAGCCAGAGCAAGGAATCCAGTAACCCAGCTATTCAATGGGGATGTGGCAGTCTTAACCATTAGGGTAAATGGCCACCTTTAGGTCTATAATTCTTAACAATACTCTCAGTTGACACTCATGACCACTTATATTTAAGAGCCTGAGGTTCAGGACACTGCTACCAGTCTTAACTCCCATCTTAACACCGCACTAACCATTTCTAAGTGAGAATATTCAAATCATAAACAATCATATTTTAAATCCAAAAAAGTAGCTTGTGTGTGACAAAGGTGAGGTTTACCTGAAACCTTGATACTATTGGCCTCACAGAATCCCTCAGTAACATGTTACATTAGACAATTTTTTCTTAAAAGGTGAACTAGCTGGCACTGTTGAGTAGCAGGTTAAGCCTTCGCCTGCTACGCTGGCATCCCAAATGGGTGCCAGTTCGAGTCCCAGCTGTTTCACTTCTGATCCAGCTTCCTGCTAATGCACCTGGGAAAGCAACGGAAGATCACCCAGTTGCTTGGGCTCCTGCATCCACGTGGGAGACCTGAAAGCTCCTGTTCCAGATCGGCCCAGCTCCATCCACTGCAGCCATTTGGGGATTGAAATACAGATGGAAAGATCTGATCTGATCTCTCTCCTCTCCCTCCAAATCTGCCTTTCAAATAAATAAATCTTTTTTAAAAAAGTGAACTAAATTCTTTTCCTTACCTAACTACACAGTTATTTATACTTGTATGATCCTTATTTTTCCCGCTGAAATGTTACTAATGAACTCAGTGTTACAGTAGCTTTCAGTTATTACATAATTTTCACATGTTTCAGTGGGATGATTACCTGGTAAGTACTCCAGTTAGAATCTCCACTGTCAAACTCTACTAAAACATTTGAATACTTACTTAATGTAAAGCATGACAAAAGCCACCAACTGCCAGGCTAAATCAACCAATTCTGGATCAAATGATAAAGGAGAGTGATAAATTGGAATTCTACCAGCACTTCTGACATTCGCGGTGTGGTTTAGGCATACAAAACTATCTATGTGAATTTCAGTTTTCTCCTCTAAGACTGAAGAATATTGAAAGCATGTAACTTACAATGCACAGACTATGCTTAATTTCCATATGTATTTTAGGAATGACTATAATCAAGTCTTTAAAAAATATGGGGTCAGTGATCAATACTTTCAAATAATTGAAGGCTATCGTACTGAAAAGAAAGGTCAAAATATTATCTATTGTGAATACAGACATTCACATCTTGGTGAAAATATATGCCAGTAGTTTTTTGCTTAAAAAAAAGCCAAGAAGCAGACTGAAACAGACCAGGACACCTAGAGCAGGTGGTTACTGAAACCCTGGAAAATTTCCCCCAAACAAGCAGTTAGAATTGTGTGCATGGGGCTCAGCAACATTCTGGTTCATACTCTTAAAAAACGCCTTTCAGATGATGTTGTTGATGAACTCAAGAACTTTATATTCTATGAAGAAGTTAAACTCAACCTGTCTGGGACAGAGAAAAAACAAAAAGCAGGGTGCCATGTTTTCACATATAGTGGTAGGAGAAGGATTCTCTGATTAAATTGACACATGAAAAACAAAGGCAAGCACACCAAGGGCCTCTCAAGGGGAAAAAAGAGTTCCGGGGGTGTGAATGCCTGTTGGAGGAAATTAAAAACACAGGCACACACATATAATGCTTACCAAAGAATTTTACATAATCTCATTCAATTTTAACCTCCAAATTACAGAATACATATTTTTTTGAATGACGAATGACTTTGGATTGCTAGGAGTCCACGGTACATTACTCAGGGCAAGATACGAGGGACACAGCCAGCACTGTAGCATAGTGGGTAAAGCCGCTGCCTACAATGCCAGCATCTCAGATGGGTGCTGGTCCAAGAACTGGCTGCTCCATTTTCAATCTAGCTCTCTGCTAATGTCACTGGGAAAGCAGAAGATGGCCCAAGCACCTGGGGCCCTATACCCATGTGGGAGACCTGGAGGAAGCTCCAGGCTCCTGGCTTCAGCCTGGCCCAGCCCCAGCCTTTGTGGCCATTTGGGGAGTGAACCAGCAGATGGAAATCCTCTTTCTCTCTCTGTGGCTCTGCCTTTTAAATAAATAAATCTTTAAGCAAAAAAAAAAAAAAAAAAAAAAAAAAGTATTAGTGACAACTGCAGTGAGTTTACAGAAACTATCAAGAAAGTACAGCCAAGTTATGGTCTTATTAGCTATTCAGATAAATCAGTTAAAAACAACAATAAATAAAAATATACATTCACAGAGCTATTCAAATTTGGGAGATCACTAAAAGTAATGGAACATTCACTATATTGTAATCCTGTACATTTCCAAAAGAAAATGATCTCTATGTGGGAACATAAAGCAAAGAGCCAAAGAGCAAACATCCATCACTATCTTCTTGTAAAACAGGTAAAAGTGCCCACTCAATGCACTTACAGATTATGAAGATGGATAAAAAAATTCCCAAGCAAGTATCAGCTATGCACTTTATGATGGAACAAGTCATTGGACTACAAAGCCAAAAGCCAGACTCTGGTCCATCAGGACTTCCTCTAAATACTGTCCTCTCATTATGTAAAAAAATGAACCAGTAAAACGATTACATCTGTCTTTTCCTTTTTTAAATGCATAACAAAAATGTCTTTAGAGCATGAATACACCATTTCAGAGTTGGAATTTTTAATTTATGAGTCTGAGCATTTCAAATATCCTAGTAGTAAAATAGTACAATCACCAAATATAACACTTTAATTTTCTGCCATTTTACTGTTTTTACCAACAAGTTATAAACCATGTTGTGAGAAAACAGCAAAATACCTATTTCTGTAATTCACAGTATGCAAGTTATCTGTCCTTCATTACCAAAACAAACCAAGCTTGTTTAAAATCCTCTCCATGTAAAATTAATACCAATCTGAACTTAAATGAAACACACCGACTTGAAAATATCAGTAATGTGAAAATATTCCAAGCAGAAGTGAATATGCTAATATTTAACAGAATCAATTTTATCTATTATTTTATTGAGCAGAAATGTACAAAAATTAATGATGTATTAATGCAACAAAACAGATTTCTTGAGGATTCCAATCTCCTGTTTAGTATTTAAGTGACATCACAAAACTCTGGATATTAAGTGTTTACTGGCATTAGCATTTGAATTTTCACTTTCCATGAATAAATATTCCCAAAGAGCACAGGACTATTTTATTTCAAATGTTTGTTCTGATACTTACTATCTTTTCTTATTTTACGGGTTCTTTACATTACCTTTCTTTACAATTAATCCATTTACTTAATAACATCAAAGAATTTTCTTAATGACAATAGGTTAAAAACAAGTCATACACTCTAATTCAAAATTTCAACATTATATGAAATTCCTGCCCCCCAAAAATTGTTAAATAGCACAAATCTGTACATTTAAACAAAAGGAAAACCTCGAGTTTTAAACAAGTTCTCCTGAAAAAAATTAATCGTTCAAGCTCAGTGGATTTTCTGTTACAAAGGGTATACGATCTTTGAATTCTACTGGCTGGCCCAGAATAATTCAACAGCAATAATTAGCACTAAGTGAACAATAAGCCTACAAAGTTTAACATCAAATTAACTCGGTCATAAACAATTCTGTTACCTTTCTTCCAAGGGAAGCAAAGAAAAAAAAATGCTTGATTTTTTAAAAGGACGTTTAACCTATGATAGAAATAGACTAATGTGTCTTGCTTCAAGCGCCCAAGGCAAAACGACCACGTTGGCACAACCGGAGAGAGGAGGAAAAATCCCGAGATTAAGAGGCTGCGTCTCTTCATCCCCGAATGCCCGGGCCTTGCCTCTCTGCCTAAAGCAGAAGTCTTCCCTTTCCCTGGGCCTGAAACGCACGATCTTTCCTAACTAAATGCAAGAGCCACCCCGAGCTGCAGCAGCCTAGCCCGAGGAAGCAGCGACAGGGCCTAAGGAAATGGTGTGGGGTAGGCCCACGCTGGGGCGGCGTTAGCAAGAACGGCGATGGTGGACGATACTCACTCTGGCGGGAAGAGGCGCAGTTCGTCGATCTTGCCTAGGAAACCGAAGAGAGTCCGCATCTGCTCAGAGCTAGCGCTCGGGGAGACATTAGTCACCTGGATTACCTCGGTGCCGCCGCCTCCGCCGCCGCCACCACCACCTCCGCCACCGGGCCCGCCGCTGGGGCCTGGGCCCGCAGTGCTGGGGACGACGGTAGTGTTGCTCATGGCGCTGCTCGCGTTCTCGCCCCTGCTTTAACACATCAAACACACAACAAACAGTGAGAGGGAGGGGGAAGAGGAACCGGTTCGCGGGAGAGGAGAGGGTATCCGCTGCTTCAGCCACTGCCGCCGCCGCCGCCGCCGTTTCTCCGCCCCGTCGCACGCCGGGGGGAGGGGAAGAGAGCGCGCGGGTTGGAGACCACGAGAAAACAAACGGCCGCCCCCACCTCGCCTCCAACCACCTCACTCCCAGCCCCCGCTCCCCCACAATGCCTTGCGGCGCCCGGGCGCGTCACCGCTGGCTCCGCCCCGCGCAGGCCCAGCAGGCCGCACCCGCAGCCGAAACTACGAACTAGTGAGAAGGCAAAGCTCTAGTTTTTGATTTGTAAAGAGGCTCGCATTAACTTTTTTATTTTTTAGAGCAAGCATTCACTGTCCTGCAAAAAAACTGCACATTTTAGCAACTATTTTCATTAAACAGAGCCTGATGTTTCTTTCTGCACTGAGAATCATTTGTAGATCTGTCCAGTTCCGAACACTTCCTTCCATCCTAGCTACCAAGATTTTTATCCCTACCACTATAAATTTTCCTAGGATCTTCTTTTTAAAAGCATATCACACAGTAATTAAATATATCCAAGTATCTGATCCACATTTTCTAGAGAAAAACTTGTTCACCTGCGCATTCCTACTTAGTTTTGGAACTTTAGACAACCATCCCCTTCCCCCTTTTTAAAAAGACTGATTTCAAAGCCAGTGATCTTCCATTCACTGGTTCACTCCCCAAATGCCTATACAGCCAGGGCCAGACCAGGCCACAACCAGGAGCCAGAACTCCATCGGGGTTTCCGCTGTAGATGGCAGGGACTAAAGTACTTGAGCCACCCTCATCTTCCTACGTGTGTTATTAGCAGAGCTGAATCAGAAGCAGAGCAGCTAGACTCCAACCTGCATTCTGATTCTGGCTGTGGGCTCCCAAACAGTAGCCGCAATGCCTGCCTGCCTGCCTTTTTCAGCCTCATCTGAACCACTCTCTGAACTGCATCTAGTGTTATCCAGTGACTTGCTATTCTCCAAACCTGACAAAAACCCCATTGCTCTGGGCCTTTATGTAAGTTAGTAATGACCTCTCTCATTATATCTAATAGCTATCTTCTGTAGAGCCTTCCTCCCATTGCTGCTACAGTTTCTACTTAGGGTTTCCTTTTCTCTGCTTAGTAACAAGACATAGCTATATTTATTGTAGACATGTCGTCTACCAAAGTTGTGAGCTTTCTGAGCCATTCCAAACCTAGCACAGTATACGTGACAGTGCCCAACAGATGTGTTGAATACACTCACAAATATATATCTTTATGACATCCATTTATTCCAGGACAACTTGCTAAATAATGACTTGACTGAATATTTTGGAAGCCAAATAATGTACTTGACTATTTCTGAAAGCTAAAATAATGTATTTAACTGATGCTTTACAGAATATCTACATTAGTAAGTACCTCTTGGCATAAGGCAGTCAAAAGTGTAATTTGTGAGAGATCAGAGCACAAGCACAGTTATAGAGCCAACTGGCTAGGTTTACTTACTACCTTAGTATTGCTTAGCTCTTATAAAGGAAGGGAAGAGGATGACTGAACGTGAGCCTCAGCAAAATTACAAATTACAACAAACTGCTTGTCGCTTATAAATTTGTATCTTTGAATATAAATAATGCCAAGTAAGTTCTCATTTTGAATCAGCCATATACATGTATACACATATATATGTATATGAATTGCCAATTACAGATTATTGACAGTTCAATGAATATTAAAAGTGTCTGTTATATGCCAAGCATGCTAACAGTGTTCAATAATAAAAGGACGGGCACCATGTCTATAATATTTTTTTCCCTTAAACTTCACTTTTATATTCTCTCTGGTGAGTATACAGAATCTTTTATATCATTCTGTATCTCACTTTTTATTTGTTATGGTAAGCATAATAATTTGGGTGTCCCTCAAATGCCTGTATGTTATGGGCTTGATCCCCAAGTTCTATGTTAGTAATTAATAAATTAAGGGTTGAAAGTTAATCCAGTGTTGTTGGAAGTGATTAAATTGAACTAAGTCACTAGGGTAGAGCCCTCCAGGAATGAATTGTGATGGCTTTACAAGGAGACACACATGGACTGGAGGGTGAGCATGCTCTCTGTCCATCTGCTTCCAGCATTACCATCTGAACTTCCCTCCATTCTCTGGCCTCACCAGATGTCTGAATCAATGGGGTTGTGTGATCTTGAACTGTGAACCTCTAAAAACTGTGACCCATGGGGCCAGTAGCCTGGTGTGGTGAATAAAGCTGCAACCTGCAATGCTGGCATCCCATACAGGCACCAGTTCAAGTCCTGGCTGCTTCACTTCCGATCCAGCTCTCTGCTAGGGCCTGGGAAAGCAGTGGAAGATGGCCCAAGTCCTTGGGCCCCTGCACCCACGTGGGAGACCCAGAAGACGCTCCTGGCTTCTGAGAGGTGTAGCTCCAGCCCAAGTTGTGGCCACCTGGGGAGTAAACCAGCAGATGGAAGGCCCTCCCTTTGCCCCCACTTCTGCCTTTCTGTAACTCTGCCTTTCAAATAAACAAACAAATCTTTAAGACAAAAAACAAAAAACTGTGACCCAAAAGAAACTTTCTTCCTTCCTAAGTAGCTCCTCTCAGATATTTGAGTTACAGTGATAAAAAGCTATTACTGTATGTATTCATTTTTATTTATGTTAGACATATTTCATAAATAAAATGGCAAATTCAAACCAAAGAAAAGATTGCTCTAAGATAAACCCTAAACCACCAGAAGCTTATTGAACATACAAAAATGGGTGGTACTTTGATATGGAAAAAGAAACTGGCAAGAAATAATTTTATTCAAATAAAGAAGTTTTTAAAATATTTTAGTTTCAAATCATTTAGTAGCTAGAAAAATGTATATATACAGAACTTAAAGCCAGAAGACTGGCTTAATATCTAGCCTTCTCATTATGCATATGATGTGAGGAATTTTCACTTCACTTCTAAGTACTTACCTCAGCCTCCTTATGATCAAATGAGGAACAGAATAATAATTTTGAAGATTCTTGTAGGTCTAATCACAGATCAGATAATTAACATTGTGTTATTGTCTGCTTAATACAGAGATAAATATATACTAAAGGCAAATAAATATATTGAATTATACTAGTTTTAAATCACCGCCATTTTATTTTGCCTCCAATTATACAAGTCAATAAGAGGACAGAATCTGAATTAGACATCACACCTGTCTTATTCACTATTATCTACAATATCATAAGAGGCAGTCAAAAAACAGATTTCTTCAAATATTGTGTACATATATGTTCTGGGGGATTTTCCTAGCCATTAGAAATACAACAGGGAAAAGATACTCAATGTTCCTTATCTCACAGCACTTCTGATCTAGAATGAAACACTATAATAAACATAAAGATATAAAGAGTAACATGTTGTGATAAAATAAAACAGGACAGGACAGGAGATGAGAGAGAGGGCCTTTTCCCCTAAGACCTCATAAAGGAGGAGGCAAGCCATTTGAATTTCTAGGGGAAGAACATTCTACGCGGAGGAAAAATAACAAATTAGATAGTAAGAACTGGTTTGAAGCTTTCAAGAAGACTGCTCTTTGACAATGAATGATTTCCATAACATACACTATGTTTCAGGGACTTAGAAAGAGATCCTGCCATATGTAAAGTGAAGTGAAAAAGTATGGACTAAGTGACACTTATTTCATCTGTGGGGATAGGTTAGAGAAGGCTTCTGGTTCCATTTGAGTAATGAATATTATCAGTTTTACTAAAAGTTAATGCTATTTTGAATCCAAAGCAAAAAACAACTTGTCATACTGGCCTATAAAGTCATGTTACAGGAATGTGCATATGATTTCTGTAGGATTTTTAAACGTGGAAAACAACCTAGAAGTTCCCCATAATACACAGGGCCCTCCTGTTCATAGTTAGGGAAGCACTATTACCACAGTGCTAAGAAAATTACCAGGTTGTTGATACTGGCAGAAAAGTATGTCAAATATAAGAAAAATGCTTTACCTAAATACTCAAAATAGTAACAATCCAGTTAGCCATAATGATTAAGCTTCTGTACTTTCTAGTCTCAAGTTTCTAAAAAGATCTTGTATATTTAGATGGAATCCCATCAGGTAAGAGAGAATAGACACATGTATACACAATTTCTCTCTACCTGCCAGATAGCATGTTCACGCTGAACAGGTATGTCACTTTTGCTTTTGTTAGCCACCTTTGTTCACACTAGAAAAGATGGTAGAATCCTCTCAATTGACACAATTTTGCAAATCTGTACAAGCAACAGGTCTTTTATCAAATCAGTTGATAAGCAATTCTTCCCTCTAGCAAATGAACATTTTTGAGGGCAAGAAAAGCAATGTATCCTTGTGTTTATAATGTCCAATAATCCTAGACAAAGCCAGTATTTGACAAAAACTTTTTTTTAGTATCACATATACACTATAAACTTTAGAAATGTCTCATATAATCTCAATTTTTTTTTTCAAGATTCTATTTGTTTATTTGAGAGGCAGAGTTATACACGGAGAAAGAGGGAGAGACAGGGAAAAAAGACTTGAATCCACTGGTTCATTCCCCAAACGGCTGCAATGGCCAGAGCTCAGCTGATCCAAAGCCAGGAGCCAGTAACTTCTTACGGGTCTCCCAAGCAGGTGCAGGGGCCCAAGCATTTGGGCCATCTTCTACTCCTTTCCCAGGTCATAGCAGAGAGCTGGATTGGAAGAGG